TTTAAAATTTATTAAATTTTTTAAAATAATTTTTTAATTAAAATTTTTTACATTCCATAATTTTTTAATCCAAAGTTTCCATCTTGTGTTTAGCCAATCACGCTAATTAATTTAAATTACACTATATTTTATATAAATTACAGATATAAACATAAGGACTGTTCATAAATTATGTAATGCAGATATGGGTATGCAAATAATTGTTGTTATTGTGTAACAAGAGGGTGGGATATTTAAAACATTACATAATGCTAGGATCTCAACCCTTGGATAACAAAGTGATTCATTTTTGTTTTTGAAGAGATTGAACAGCAAACTGCACTGTTTATGTCACTGCCTTACACATAATTAATAAAATAATGTAGTGTTCAGACCTTGTGTCATGTATAATATTCCTTAGTACATATTGATACAATTAAAAGAACCAATCTGAGATAAGCATTGTGGAGATTGATATGTATGATGCATTATGGAACATTACAGCAGGTTACATGGTAGTTGAAAGTATAAAAATAGCATTACATAATTTATGGACAATCCCACAATCCCATACACTGATTCCTAAAGATCTCCATAATTATTTAATTGTAATTAAAACAAATACAATCCACATTGAACATACAAGAAATTTAATACAGACTATATCATGTATATATTATTTATTTCATTTACATTAGAAAATGTTGCTGGACAGCAGATCTCCTCCTCTAATAAATAACAAGACCCATAACAAAAAAAAAATAAAATAAAATCAACCAACATAATAAAAAATAAATATAAATAAGACAGATTATGTCTAAAATATTAAATACACCTAATGCTAAAAGTAAGATAAAAATTTAAAAATAATAACCAGGCTGGAATGTAGTATATTGCCATAGAATACATCTACTTAAAATGTAATAAGATATGTAAATAAGGTTGCATTTACAAACCACTAAGAATTATAGTGGATGTATATATTAAGGGGATTGATTGTGAAGTGCACCTGCTTTAGTAAAAAATACATTATTTTTAAACGTGTGAAACTCATTTCATTTCATAATTTTGAAAATTCTTATTAATCAGACCTAATATTTTCATAAAAATTAATTTTCTGAAAAATGTTATTAATTAATTAATAGCTACATCAAAGTAAAATAATAAAATCCAGCAACAAGTCGCTTAACTTTCCTGACAACATTTAAAACTGTGTGTATGGCACCATCTGTCATGATATTTTATTATTAAAAACTTTTTTTATTTTTTAAATATTATAAAATGGCAAAAAACTTAATTTTAAGGATAGGGATGGATTTTATAAAATTGTAAATGCTAATAATGAGTAAAATCATCATTAAGTCGTACCCTACTCGAGATACGACACATGACTTCTTTATCTCCCCACCCTGTCAACCTTTTAACAACCAAAAATTAATATCATCAATTCACCCTAATACACAAACCTCCCTGCATAATTTCAGAAATTTTTGACAAAAAGCTCAGGAGTTATTAAGCTTCAAAGGGTGAACAAAATCGTGCCCCCACACTAACATCTATATATATAGAAAAAACTTCCAAATTGCATTTCTTGACATTTCAAGGTGTCCAGAGTCTAAAAATGTAAAAATCTTGGCAGTCAACTTTTGACCAATTACCATACTTTCCCTCTGTTATATATAACAGAGCTATGAAAGTAAAATTCTTAGATAAAAAGAACATATAAATGTAAATAACTTCATCAAATTAAAAAACACACTTTTTTCATTACAGATTTCTACTATTATATAATTTATTAGGCATCAAAATAATGTTTTCAGTTCATAAAGAATATAAATTAAAAATCAATTTGAAATTAATTTTAAAAAATAATTCATTTTCTAAATTATTATTTCCTTAATAAATCTTATTCTATTTAAAAAACTATACAATCCAAAGAAAAAAATACCTCAAACACTGCTTGATTTTAAACTGTGTTATTTATAATTGTTTTATTTATATAATAAAAAAAAGGTAATAAATTTGTTTACTGAAATTATTGTATATTAAACTGTGACCTTTATTCCCATAAATAACACAATAAAAGTTCAAATACTTGAATGAATTTTAAATAAATACTTAAAGTAAACATAAGTAACAAAAAACTTCAGATACCTCTAGCATCGACAGAAAATACTTTGAACACTACTGATTAGTATCAAGTTATATCAACTTTTGCCTGTATTACTGCATTTACATGTTTGCAGATTTTTAATAAGAGCCGGACAGTCATCTTGAGTAATTTTATCCAAAACTTCCTGAATTTTTTGACATAAGCCAGTCACTGTCTAATGAGATCTTTTTCTGACTTCCAGTGGGAAAAAGATCTGGACTGTTAAGGTCTAGATGTCCAACTCAACATATTAATATGTGATTTGCAACTCATAACTTATTGTTGTGGCAGTTTGGCAACTTGAACCATCCTGTTAGAAAATTATATTTGGGTTTTGCAGTTTTTCCAAATATGGAAGAAAGCTTTCTTAAAGGATCTGCTGTTATTTTTCTTAATTCTATTTGTTCCATCAATTACAAGCAGAGTGCGAAAACCTTGGGCAGTCATGCAACTCCATAATAAATAATGCTTTCTGAGAACTTTGTTGTACAATTAAAACACTCACAATGAAATAATTCATGCTTTCTTTGAATCACTTCTTTTTGTTGTTTCAAATGCAAACCTCAAACTGGGCTTTATTGCTGAAAGAATGCTATTCCACTGTTGCTGCATCCATCTTTGACTTTCCTTTCCTCATTTTAGTCAAATTTTATTTGAGGCTTAGTTAATAGGTTTTAGTTAGCTTGAGAAAAAAAATCACATATTGACACACAACCATTATATTCTCATGCTGACATTTTGCACTATTATCTTACCTGAAGAAATATCCAACAATATTCACTTATACAATGACTCCAATCTGTAGAATTTATGATATTTAAATAGCCAACAAGTCTCTTTACTCATGGATGCACTTTATTTAATTACTAATTCTGTAAATGATGACCACTTTGATAATTCTGTATAAAAACTTGATTTGTCAATGTTTAGTTTTAAAGTTATTTAATGCAAGAACTTTCCCTTTACATGAAAATTTACAATTACTTACTGCTTTTCCAGATGCCATTTGTTATAAAACAAATTTATAAACTTACACTAAATAAATATTGCTATTTTCATGTAACATGCAAATTAAAAGTATGCAATAATATTTAAATAAGTAAAAACTTCTCATTTTTATACTGCTTGAGATATTTTCTATAAATACTGAAGGTGTCCAAAGCTTTTTGTCACCTAAGATTTTTTTCTTTAAATATTTTTGCAAGCATTTTTATCTTTGTGAGTTAAATTAATTATATTTATTAGTATAGTAGAGCATCGATTATCCAAATCAGTTGGGGACTGGGTTTGTTCAGAAAATCGATTTTTCAGATAACTGATTATGTAAGAAAAAATATATTAACCTATCCCTTGTTGAAATTCGTTCAAATCCTGGCATGTCCTTAAGTACCTTCTCATGGTCGAACTAGTGCTACCAGCTAAACAAAACAAAAATAATATTGGAGTAGCCCAAGACATAGCCAAAGATTGTAGTGCCACAGCACTAGCAGAAATTTAAATTTGCCAACTGGAAAGTTTTTGGTTAATTGACGTTTCGGTTAATCGACATTCAAATAATCGACGCTCTACTGTATTATAGTTTAATACAGAATAATTTTTTTAATCATATCTGTTTTTATTTTTTTTATCTTTAAAATAAAATGCCACTAATACTCAAGAAATGTCTGAAGTATGTAGTACTGTATTATAGTTTAACACAGAATAATTTTTTTAATCATATCTGTTTTTATTTTTTTTATCTTTAAAATAAAATGCCACTAATACTCAAGAAATGTCTGAAGTATGTAGTACACTAATACTGTGGGTGCCTGATATTATTTAAGTTAACTACATGAAAAAATGTATTTATGAATGACACACATATATAATTTATCACTAATAACTGATAATTTATACAGCTCATTATAAATATTTTGATTATTTAGCTAAATATAAATTAATAATCAATACTATTGTTATTAAAAATAACTGTATTTAATTTTAAGATTGAAATTTCAACAATTTTACACTGAATGCATAGAGTTTAATAATTATTTTATAATAAAATATTTTTTTAAAAATCAAAACTACACTAAATTATAATTTTATAACTACTACAAGATTATATTATAAAATAATAATTTATTTAAAAAATTTTTAAAGGTAGTTAATTACAGTAGAGCATCGTTTATCCGAAGGTGGGTTATCCGAAGGAATTCCAGTCGACAAATTTAAATTTTCGCCAGTGCTGTGGCGCTGTAATCTTTGGCTATGTCTTCGGCTACTCAAATATTTTACGTTTTTGATACTAAATTAACTTCTGAAGTATAATTTTTTATTGTTTTTATATTTTTCAATATATTTATTTTGTTTGTACAAAATAAAAAAATAATTTTTCACGATACAATAGTCTTCATTAGGCTTAAAATTGTCAAAAATTCAATGCGAAGTGACATGCAACAGAAAAAAATTTCAACATGGGATAAATTAATATATTTTTTCGTACATAATTGGTTATCCGAACAACCCCAGTCCCCAATTGATTCGGATAAACGACGCTCTACTGTATACACAATTATCTGTTTCAAAATATTTGATGTCACAAAATATTTTAAACTTTTACATTCTAATTTTAACTCAAAATATCAATTGATTAAATTATGGTAATTAATACAATAATCTTTATAAAATCTGTAATATTAACAATGTACATCTACATAGTCAATACTATTTTGTTTAAAATAAAATGAAAAATTTTAATTTTATATACACAAAATTAAATTGTCTCATTTTAGTAATAACAGAACACATTATAGACATAAAAATATGTAAGAAAAAGTGAATAATTTATAAATATTTTTTAAAAGGTTTTTAACTTAAAATTATTTACCTCTGCTTGTTTTAACTGCTCTAATGAAAATGGTTCTTGTAATGATTCCAAAAATTGCATTGCATATTTTTCTACAGGACTCAACTGAAACAAATTGTAACATAATTAACATTATACTTTAACTAACTTTATATTATAATTTATTTAAATCAACCAACCAGAAAACAACATAAATATCTTTTCTTCAATTTATACAGATTCAGCTTTATATAGTGAAGGTGACAACTATTTTAATGTTATTAATAATGCTCATTGACATAGTCTTACCATAAAGTTCTAATTTATACATATCAAAAACTAAACAATCTAAATTTATAATATAAAAATATTACAAATGATAACATAATATTAGTTAACAATATTGTGCTTTTGATCTGAAATTTCAAAATATTTAAAAACTGAAAAGTCAATAATTCCTACTTGCTAGAGTCCAATGTATTCCCCATTCTGATATTAAATTATTGATTAATGAAATGAATATTGGTATAACCAAATTCTGAAACTATTCATCTCTCTAAAATTTTCCAGATGCCGAACAAAATATAACCTTGCTTCATTCTGTATATTCATTTAATGAAAGTATTGATCCATCTTATTCATTTACATTTAATGTAATGAATCAAAATCTCAATCTCTTACCTATCCCAACAGCTACCATTGACCTTGCTATCATCTCAATTATAATTATTGTATCACATATACGTGTTCTCCACAGTATTGTTAACATTTGTAATGGTATATGGCATAAATATAAATATATTTAAAATTCTTCCTGAAATACATTCATATATTCTGTTATCTGTAGAAACAGAGCTGCCATTAGTAGCATGATCTCCATGCTAAATGATCAACAATCTATGCCTGTAATGCCTGAAGAGCAGAAACTGACACAAATAAGTGATAAATCAACTTCTTTTACTGTCAACCTGTATGTGTCAATTTATGAAGAGAAGAAAGAACACAATGATAATGATGGCAAACTTTGTTATTCATAATAATAATCTCTTACTTATGAATATGTATAAATAAATCTACTCATCACAAATTATATTCAATATCTTCAGATTAAATTAACTTCCTTCAAAACAACTTTATTGATTTCATTAATTAATATAATAATTAATAAAAAAATTTAGCCATAAATTTCTTAATGGAAGACACTAACATATATCAACTGAAAATTCAACAATTAAATTAATTCTTTTCTACATATTTTTCATAATGTAATTAATTATGATCAACCCACAGAAAATAATAGTGCATTCAGTTTTCGAAAAAGTGATCTAATATTTTATTGTAAAAAAATCTCTCTTCTAGAAAATTAAATACTAACATTAATAGACATGCATTAATTCACAGTTTTGCTGACATTAATGCATTTTTTGCATTAATATGAAAAAAGCTGAACCATCATTTATTTAAATGGTAAAAATGAATATACTAAAACAATTGCTATTTGTTTCAACATAAAAACAAATTAAACTTTGTATTAAATATGTATAAATATAAAAATATAATGTAGTCAAATAATTAATGTCAAACAATTGCTGAATTAAATCATGCCACATTACCCCAATAATTATATGGTGGTATGCATCTCAAAGCCTAATATTATTTTATTGGGTTTTGATATGCATACCAACCATTTATTTATATAGGTATGTATTCAAATAAACAATCTCCCCATTTTCCATTGATAATTATCTCAACTGATAATACAGTTAAAATATAGTATCAATCATACAAACTGAAGAAAAGATATATATTTTAAACAAATAAAAAGATAATTTTTTTTTACCTGTTCCATTAGTTTGTCTAATTCTTCTTCAGCTTGAGATTTTTCTTCATTATCACGACTATCAACATCAATAGGAATTGATTCATCAAATTCTGCTAATTCAGCAGCAGCTTCTGCTCTTGCTGTTTTTGCAGCTTGAACATCAAGTTCTTCTTCTGCCATGCCAAGTGCCTACATATTAAAAATTAATAAATAAAATTAGTGTTTATACACAAATAAAATCTTTATTTATAATAAACATCAAAATGCAAAATAATAATTAATGACTAATTTGAGCATTTTGTATAAGATTACAAAATTTAATTAAAATTTTAATTAAAAAATTAAAATTTAATTAAAATACAAAATTTAATTAAAAAACTATTTGCTTGTTTTGGAAAAACATTTGAAGATAGTTTGTCACAAAAAATATCTTTAAAAGATAAAAATTGAAAAAATAAAAAAATATATAATTTTTTCTCCTCCATATTTTCATATATTTATGAGTCTTATGTAATATTAAATATTTAATACATTTATTTTTGAACAAGAGTGATTTACAATTAATATATTCAGAAAACTAATTACTATAAAATATTTTACATATCTTCTAAAATTTAATAAAATAAATTAATAAAAATAATTTCACAATTAAAACAAAAAATTTTAAAAATGAAGTCTAGATTCAATTTATAGAAAATATTATTATTTTATTACCTGTTCAAACTGAGTTTGTGTTAATTTATCTCCTTCTGATAATTTTTCTTCTAATTCAAAGTTTGGTTTGTTATCATCATCTCCTTTAATATCAACTTCTTCTGATACTGATAGATCAATTCCAAACAAATCTCTAATTGTATTCTACAGAGAAAAGTTATCAAACTAATTATTTAATTTGCATTTTATAACAACAAATGAATTAATTAAATGTATTATAAATCTATATTGTGGATATATTAGTTCTGTTGATTAACAAAAAAAAACTAGAATAATTTAATTAATTAAATCTGATCAATTTTTTCTAATTATTTCAATTAGAAACTGTACATAAATTTTGCAGGAAAAAAAATTAATTTCAAAAATTATCTATCATTACACACAAAAAGATATTATTATTTATAATAAAATAAATGAAAACTTCAATATTTATATACTTTTTTGAAGAATGCAGTAGTAAAGTTCCCTCCTTCTATGGCTAAATCACCAAGTAATCTTTTCTGATTAGCTTTTTTCAAAATGTTTTCTTCTACAGTTCTTTCACTTATCAGTCTAATTTAAAAATATACATATTTTAATCATCTATGAATATATACAAAATTCAATTAAATAATAATAATTATTATATTTATTTCATATTAAATATATAAATAATGTATGGAAGTTATATATCTTCTGAATTACATTTTAATATATATTTATAATTTATAAGTAAAAAATATACTGAATAATTTATTTGTTTGTTTTTAATATACAGTGATACCTCTGTTTTCTTGATAATCCGTCAAGCGAAAAAATCCAAAACTGACAAAAACTGAGGCAATTATTTCCATATGAATCAATGTAAATCCAATTAATTCATTCTACACACTCCAAAATACATACCAAAAACATATTTTATAGAGAATAAATATTGTATTTAATATGAAAACTAATAAGAAATTAATATAAAATGAATATAAAAAACCTAATGTAGAGAATAAATAAACATTTATCATGGCATTCGAAACACTATGGCTCTGGAAACTTTCTTTGATCCCATGATGGAGCTAAAAGGAAAGGAAAGCAATGAAATTGTTTGGCTAGATGCACAAGGTAATGTTCACATAATTAGAAACAATGCCACACTCAGCAGGAAAACACATGGGTCGTCCTATGTGTTTGCAAAATTAGCAGGAGGTCACGCGAACATGCCAATGAAATCTGACAAATTTTTCGCGAAAAACATTGACAAAAACCGAAACAGACGATAACCGAAGTAAACAAAAACCAAGGCATTACTGTATACTGTATATCTTTAGCAAAAACTGACTTCTAGGAAGTTTTTGAAAAGCATTTATAATATTTAATTTAATATTCATTGAAAATAAATAGATGTTTATGTTAAATACAAGTATGTTAATGCTTAAATACCTAATTGACTAATTATAATTTTGTACAGAAATACAAATCTTCATAATTTTCTTATATCAAATATAATTATAGAAGTTACCTGTATATGTGAACATCTCTAGTTTGGCCTATTCTATGGCATCGATCTTGAGCTTGAGCATCCATTGTTGGATTCCAATCACTGTCATAAAAAATAACAGTATCTGCACCTGTCAAATTTACTCCAATTCCACCAGATCGTGTTGATAAAATGAAACAAAATATTCTTCTATCAGCATTAAATCTTTCCATTAGTACCTAATAGTGAAACAAAAATTTTTAGAAATTTATATTAAATAAAAAGTTGCATACATATATTAATCATTATACATTATGTATATATTATTTAAATAAAAGAGCATTTGACAGATTTCATTTAATATTAAAATCAATGATTTTACATGTTTTTGTGACAAGAGAAATATGTAACTTAATATATATAATAAGAAAAAAAAAGGATTTAAACTTTTGATAACTTCAATGGCACTGTCAATGCCATAAGATTTATTTTTATGTCACTGTGATTAATTCAGTTGGTCTATGTAAAATACTGTTGACTTTAACAGATACTTCAAGCATCATATAACATCAAAATTAATAGAAATTGATTTTTTTGAAAACAAAAAATGTGACACAATAAATTACTTCAACTTAAAAAAGTATTTTTTTAAAAATAAATTTAAGAATATAAAAATAATTTTGCATTTCCAATGTATTATTTTATAAAATCTGTTTAATTTTGAAAATAGAATGGGTAATTCATAGAAGATGGGAAGAAAATACTTCCTGAAAACTATCATGAATTAAAAAGTTGGTTCCGTAGTTATTAGTTGTTGTTTTGCAATTATTTTTTTTTTTGTTTCTTCAGAGTTCCACTAAAATATTCAGATCTATCCAATATAATTATTGTTTGATGTCATAACTTATAATTACAAATTAAAAATCAGTTTTTTTTTTTTAAATCTAGAACAAAAGCCTATATAAAAAAAGTATATTATTATATGATATGATAAAGTTCTTGAATTTATATGATATAGTGAAACTAAACAAGTAGAACACAATTATTTTAAATTGTGTGTGTAAAGTTTTTAATAATTAAATAATCACCTGTCTTTGATCGACTCTTGTAGTTCCATCTAATCTCAAATAAGTATGGCCATGGTGATTTAAAAACTGTTCAAACACATCAAGCATCCTTGTCATCTGTGTAAAAATTAGTACTCTGTGTCCTTCACTTTTCAATTGCCAGAGCAATTTATCTAATGTTTGAAGTTTACCTAAACAATTAAAAAAATATCAAATATATGCAATAAAAAACATTTTTTTACATTACACAATTTAAAAAATCTAAAATTCTACAATTTTAATTACTAATATTAAAAAATTTTTATGATTGTTATCTATTGTAGATATTTGTAGTTTAATAACTACAAATATCTAAAATGATTAACATTCATTGAGATATTTTGTAACATGTGTATATAATTTTTTTTTCTTATAGTCCAGTTTTCATGTCTTACTGTTATTCTATACATTTTTACAATTAATTATTACATTAATATTTAATTTTAAAAAAAATCGCTAAAATTTGCTATTTCGTTCACTTCTTAAATTTATATTAAATAATAATAATGATAATAAAAAAAAATAAATGTTTATTGTAATAAATATTAAATAATTATTTTATTAATCAGTCTTAATTTTAATATAGATTATGCTATATTTTAAATAGAACAAAGCATTATATATTTAAATATAATAGAAATGCTCTATTATATTTACAATACAGGATCATTGAATTTATTTGAGGAAAATACTGAATATAAATTAATCATGAAATGAAAGAATAAAAAATTAAATAATATTTTTTATTTGTTACATTATCTTATAATTTTTAAAAAAAATAATCTGAATAACTGATATGCATTTTAAGATAAATTAAAATATAAATTAATCATTGCAAATTGCAAATTACAAAAATGCAAATTGCTTGTCATACTTACCACAATCATACTGAATAAGCCTCAATTCAGGAAATTGAGTTCTGGTGTTACTTGTTATTGGATGGAGTAAAGAACATCTAGCAGATAGTTCTTGATGCAAAAATTGAACTCTATGCTTTTCTTCATTCACAGCAGATGGAGATGGATGAGATGTATGCATTGTAATTTGAGGTGCAGTAACACCAGGAACGACAAAAACATACCTAACAGATTTTAAAAATATAAAAAAATTTTAATTTTTAAAATTTTTCTTAGGTAGCATACATACATTTATGAAAAGTATAAGCTAAAAATTTTTAAAGAGGTATTCTTAAAATTAAAAAATTATAATAATAATTGATGTACACTCACTCAGCATTAGTATATAAATCAAAAAAACACAACACCTTAATTTGCTGAGAAAAAATTTTTTCTCAGCAAATTGAGGTGTTGTGTTTTTTTGATTTAAATAATAATAATAATAATAATATAAAAAAAAGTTACGATGTGAATTTATAAAATCATTTATACTTTTGTATGATTTACACACAAGCATACAAAAGAGTATAGTTAGGATAAAAATATCAAAATAATTGAAAGAAACAAAAGCTAATTTTATAAAATGTAGTGTAATGCAAACATGTTAAAATGATTTATTCTATGGTGAATCAATAACAGTGTACATAAACATATTAGATTCCAATGATTTTCATGATCATTTTTTTAAGAGGTACTTTTTAGTATATCTAGTCCATATATTATAATTCTGGACTTTTTCCAAAACATATATATATTATGGAAAAAGACCAAAATTATCATGGTCAACAAGGACAAGACAATATTAATAATTCCCAATAATTATGGTACTCATTGACAAAGTCTGACTATTTTCAACATTCCTCAAAATTCTTAGAAACTTCAAAAATGTTTATGATTTTGATATTTTCCTGAGTTCTCAACATTGAATAACTTTCAGTAGGCAACATTTTACAATTGATATCATTTAAAAACAATGTTAATCATGCTCATAATGTAAACTAGCAGTTACATCAATGAACTATTTATTCTTCAATAATGATGTATTAAGACAAAAACTGAATGTTGCATAATTTTAAAACTTATGTAACATGTCAGTTTACAAAATTATTTATATTTTAATTATATTTTATTATTTATATACTTTTTAAATTATTTATAACATAAGATATGTTGCAAATGCTATTTATAAAATATATTATTATAACATAACAAATGAAAATAAAATAAAGCTTGAAGAAACATAGTAATATAAATCTATGCAAAAATATATAACAAATAAAAATAAACCAAAAATTTGTAATCAGAACAATTATCAATTAGAAAAATTTACTAAAATCTGTTTATTTTAAGATCAATAAATATAAGTACAGATAGTTGGCATGTAATTAACATGTAATTAACAAAAGTGCATTCAAATATTTGCATTAATTATTATAAATAAAAGTGTAATGAAATAAAATATTTAGACAAACCTTGTAATAATATCTTTTAATTCTTCGAGGTAAGATTCTGGAGTATGAATCATGGAAGAAAGTGCTTGAGTATAATACCAATAGTCAGAACATCTTTCTTGAACATAAGGAGCATTGTAGCAATTGACATATCCCATTCCATGCCATGGCTTTGACTGAGAACATGGTTGAATATCATTTACTACAGTAACAGTTTTAATAAGGTCTAATCCATAAAGAGGACGTGCAACACATCTTCTTGCATTGATATAACCCAATCTTTCCAATTTCTCTTTTTGTCTTTCATTGCGTTTTTCAACTAAAGATTCCTGAAATGAAAATTATTATTAAATCAAACAAAATAATAATTTTAATAATCAGAATTCATAAATAAAAAAATTAAAAGATGATTTTATTTGAAATGCTTTCCATGATTACTGTATTTATTTTATGAATAAATACAATAAATCTAATAATCAAAAAAGCTTACATAAATGTATGTACAACTACAAACTATATCGAAATCTACACTGCAATGAAATTTAACAGTTTTGTGTATATATAACTGATTTTAAGTGTGAGATTTCAGCCCCTTTTTCATTTCCACTGTTGTTTTCATCGATGTTAATTGGATATTTAAAGTAATATTCTATCTGAGAAAAAGGCGACCAAAAGGTCAAGTGGTGAAAAGAGGACAAGGTGGAAAAAATCCACATCTTTTTCTCTAGATTTTCTGACAGATAAAAACCGAACAAATATCAGACTAAGTCAACAATTACTACAATGCTTGGACTTGCGTTACAATCTTATTCAAGACAGTCAATTACTAATGATGGGAAACTGTCAAACATATGGAATTATGAGGCAAGGAGAGCCATCAAAAGGCTAGAAAATAGCAATAATTCTGCCAAATCGTCCAGTTCTTGACAGCCTGTATCCGTTGAACATGCACCCAACTCAAACTTGAAATGCATTTAAATCAAAGTCACCCGGTTCAATTCTCATGAACAACGCATATAAAAACGGGTTGCACCCGATCATCCAAGCAGACACTCTCCCAGAAGCAAGAAGACAAGCTTCTGTCTGTCACACAACTCATCTTGCCATCTCCAGGCTCCCGTCTCCCTCAAAAGCAACCTCCACAATCGTCTCGCTGACATCATATAAATAGGATCCAGAACTGTTGGGTTAGTTCCTGAGGTATTGTACTTAGAGCAATAATTAGAGATATATGTAAACTCTCTCTCTGTTATTAGTTGTTAAGTAGTTATAGCATGTAACCTCCCCTACGTACTTAACCTGTTTCCGTTCCATATTAAATTTGTTATTTTGTTTAACTAGTGTCGATATCAATTATTGCTCGGAACTAATTCACCCTATCGACTTACCACCGCACTCCCCACTCAACAACTAGCCCTCTTATTTAAAGCTATCCAGTGACCTTGTGAGTGGGTTTTACCAACTCGACGACTACAGAGCCTAACCCTCAACCATATTCTCACATAAGCCTTAATAAGAAATCATTAATAACTATAATAAATAGTGTAAATTAGTATAAATAATAAAATTACTCTTAACTGTTTATTTCAATTACATATTCTTAATGTTTCAAAAATTATTCTTTGTCTAAAATATACAATATAATAATTTTATTTTCACATAACTGAAAAATTAACAGTAAATGTATAATAAATCAATATTCATATATAAAAGTAAAATTTTTATATACAAATATTGATTATTTACATATTAGTTCTTAATTTGTTAAAACAAAATTAAAGAAGTACTCTAACTCTCAACAACCTACATGTCACTAGTACATTGTCAATGTCAGTACTGAAAAAGATGTACATTTTTATACTCTATTATCTGTATTAATTATATTAAAAATAATCTCTCATGAAACTAAGAATACTAAGTATATCTCTTTACATTTTCTAATTCTGTCTAATGTAATTAACATTTTGTATAATGCTGATAAAAACAGGTTTCCAAAATGTGGCATTAACCCAGTAATAATAAAATAATCTGAATCTGAAATATAACAGTTTTATTAAAAACTGATCTTGATTTTATTCATTGTTTTAATAAGCAAATATAAAAATGTTGTAATATTCTTTAAATGATAATTACTAACTATAATCAAGTTTATTTTATTTTTTTAAATCAGATATAAATTAAAGGATACAGTAAAATATTAAAAAGGAAAGATAACATCATTTTTTTTAACTAATTGAATCAATAATATACAGTAAAACCTGTCTATGGAGACCACCCACGGTTCCTTCAAATAGTGGTCTTTTAGACAGGTGGTCGTCCAATACAGGTGGTGTCGTAATACCCTATTTCCGTACGTATTTTGCGCACTTTTTAGCCATTTCTACTAAAAGCAAAACTCGACGTGAGCAAAAGAAGCGAATTTTTTCAGCGATAGGACTATATTAGTATTGTATTTTATTCTTATCGGATAACTCGATTTACGGGAGTCTTCGTGATTTTGTAAGACAGATTTAATACCAATATTTCAAAGATTAATACAATAGTCGCATATTCTCGATTATAATGCAGACTTTCTTTTTTTTCGACTTAATTAATTCAACTCGATTCTTTTCGTTTGCTCCTCAGTTATGTGTATTACGTCATCGATATACAAGTGCGTCCTATCTCTACATCACTTTGGTTTTGGCTTTGGTTTTTGTTAGTTTAACTTTAAAAATACTGTATTTTTTATATTTAATATTTTCTTAAGTACAACAAGAAAATTATTAATTAATAATAAAACGATTTTATTATTTTTTCTCATAATACGATTTCATTACATTTGAAAAAGGAAAGTTGCCTGTAAAACTGATTTTTGCATTAATGCGTTTATTGTTTTTTGAATATTTTGCCTGCGAAAATTACTTGGATATTATTTTTCTAAAAATATCGTGGAAATAAGGTAGGTTGATACAGAAACTATTTATCGCACGTGTACTGTATATGAGCTTCAAAATAAATAAATAAAAATAGATTTTATCAAACGATGAGATCAGCCGATTAATTGTATCGTGTACAATATTTTAAACCCCCAAGGAAAATACTGTAGGTGTACGGTAAAATAAATTTTGTTTTTCCAGTTAAACTTCGTCACTAATTGCCGTTGTGATAAACCATTTTCACTTTCTCTGATAATTTTAACACGATCTTCTAACGCCAACACTTTGCATTTCTTTTGTTTTTCCGACATTTTCCAACAAACTGAAATGAATTTCCTTTCTTGCTAGACTAATTTATTAACACCTGAACGTAATTTCAAGGGTGGGAGAAGTGCCCAGGATGAGTTCGAACGAGAGTTTACACTAATTCATTATATTAGGAGGAGGAAACGTTGTTGAGATGGGTTCGAACAATAGTTTAGACCAGATACACTCGCGAAAGTGGTCGCTTATTACAGGTGTTGTATGTTGTTTCGGACCAAAAATCTATGCCCGCGGTCGCGTTACACAGGTGGTTGTTTAATACAGGTAACTTATCCGAAGACTCTATGGGTAAACTATTTGGTGCCAGAAATTTTTGCCCATTTTGACAGGTGCCCGTCGAATGCAGGTGGTCGCCTAAGCAGTTTTTACTGTATATATTATTTATTATTTTATTCAATTAAAAATTAAATTTAAAAGTATAAGACTAATTATATTAGAAAAAATCACCATACAGAACTGTTATGATACTATCTTCAATGATCTTAACTCAATCAATATTACCATATTTCCAAACACAATTTTCACATCCGTATTTCTAGGAAATGTTTTTAGAGAAAACAAAATATTTGAGTAGTTTTTGCATGAAAAATGCAAGACTTCTCATACTGAATTGTATACTTTGTTTAGTGTAGGAGATAGGACATGCCAACAAAAACTTTTACGGTATATAGGAACTTTATTTACCCTCATTTCATTGTATAAGCTTAACAGTATGGTATCTTTGTACTTGCTGGAAGCTATGAGGGTAGAGAATATCGGCAGTTGTTAATTGCAAATTATGATGCTTTATAGCACTTTTCCTTACAAGGTTCCTTAGTGTCATACTGAGTAGTGTTAACTGCAATTTTGTGAGATGGCAAGAAAAAAACAGTTTTACCACACAGTATAAAATTAAAGTAATCTGCTTTGCAGAACAGAACAGAAATAGAGAGGACAAATGAAAATATGGCATTAGTGAGACACTTGTTTCCTACTGGTGTAAACAAAAAGCTCTAAGCAATGAAAGGTCCAATATGAGAGCACTTCGAGACTGGAAAGTATCTCCAATTTAAGGAAGAACTATTACAGTATCTTGAAGAAAAGCACAATAACGGCTTTGCTGTAACACATGATATGTTGCAATTATGGACTTGAAGTATTGCTCAGACACAAAATATTTCTTCCCTTGAGTTTAAGGCTGACCAAGAATGGGTTAGCAGATTTATGAAGAGGAAAAATTTTTCTCTACATAGAACTACACTGTACCAAAGGTTGAATAATTAGTAAATAATTACTGATATATCTACTTTCAAAAATAATTTGCATATTTTTCACATCTCAATTTTCGATTAATAAAAAATGCCAAAAAAAGTGTGAAAAATACGCATGGAAATACAATATGTAAATTATAGTGATAATCATCTCAAATTCATTTACAATAGAACTGTAAAAGCTCCTATTATGATTTAAAATAATTTTATTATGGAATCTATTTTAGAAGCAGAAAATTAATTATTGTTACTATCATATTAATTAATATTAATATATTAAGATAAACTGAAAAGTTAACAATAGTTAATATCTTAATTATAAAATTAGGAAATATTTCTAAATAGACACAGAATAATGATTATGAAATATATAAATACCATGTAAAATATTGACTTTCTGTTATCATTCTTCTTATAATCTGTTTTGAATGGTAATTGAGACTGATTGTCGGAACGTGTAACTGGTTTTGTAGGAATATGCATTACAGGTGATTTAGTACTATACACAGAAGAGCCTAAATGATAAAAAAAAATACATAAATGATAAATTATTACAGCTTATAAATTTGTTTTTTAGAGTAAAATTGTATTAATATATTATATATATAAATAATTTTAAGAATGATGTATAATGATATTTAAATGCATTTTTTCAGCCTGGCTTACTATTCATATATAAGTATTTATAATTTCATTTTTGTATGAAAGATAACTTAATTCATATCCCACAACTAATAAGATACTACTCTGTATTCATTAATAAACAATAACTTCCAATTTAAAATAAAATTTATATGACTACTAAGTTATTTATTTCTGAGACAAACTCAAGCACTATGTTCTTTAAAGTGATGAAATCTAAAGATTGGCACTTTTCCACAAATCTGAGAAAAATGCTTCAATCTGGTGAACAAAACAAATGCAAGTGTAAATTATGCCCATTTTTTATTTTATTACTGATATTAACTCTCCCTATTATCATTTTTCTAATTACAGTGTACACAAATCTTTCCTTCTTGACATCTTATTCACATAAGCTTCATACCTGTATGAACATATAGTTCAAACATGATAATTCTCTTTGGCCTACTCAACATATGAGATAGCAAATATTGCCAATCCATTATCTCATAAACTGTACAGAACTGCCAAATATCTAAAGCCAGGCTTCATCAGATTGTCTTTTAGCTAGACATTAATACTGAAGCTAATTAATTTGGACTAAAGCTAAAGGTTAGTCTAATCTGTATAGGATTTTATCTTAGAAAAATATTTTTTAAATTAAAAAATACGAGAACATAAATATTTCATAACTATTACCTGAAACAGTAGTATTTGAAACAGGATTGATGTTCAATGGAGCTACTCGAACGACAGGTTTAGTGGTTGCTATTGTTGATATGCCACTAGTCAAATTTTTTATTATGCCAGATGAAGCATTACTTGTTAAAATTGGTTGATTTGCACTAATACTGAATTTATTTGCTTGAGTATAAACTAAAAATAAAATTAAAAAATAAATAATGTATGTATTTATTTTAATTTTTTATTTTGTGTAATATAAACCTACCAGAAGGAGTAGCTATAGGTGGAACTTGGACTACTACAGAAGCAGAAACATTTCCAGCAATAGTTGGCGTAACAGCAACTGACTGTTGAAACTGTCCAAGAGTTAATGTTTCAGAATTTGCATTTCCAACTGTTGAAGCTGGTGTCAATAATATATGCTGTCCAGTAGCTGTCTGGACCAATCTTCCAATTCCTAAAGGCATAGCCAATCTTGCACCTCCTTGTCCTGTTTGTTGGATCTGAACAGTGATTGGAGTTGTTGTTACCATTTGTGATGCTAAACTGACTGGAGTTAATTGTGCAACAGAAAAATCTAAAGAAAAAATATATTTTCTTTTAAAAGTTAAATACCGTTTTAAAATAATAAAATCAATACAAGTTAATCTAAGTATATCTAGCATTCAATATTAGTATACCATTTAATTTGTGATGCCTATTTACCTATAATAAATCTTATGCTCTAAAGGAATTTAATAATAAATATCTTTCAAAATATTTAATACTTACTACTGCTTGTAGACTGTTGTATTAATTGAAGAGTATACTCTGTTGAAGATGTTTGATTAATTGTTGGATTATTTCCAATTCCAATAGCAGCAACAGGACTAGTGGCACGAGATGAAGGAGCAGAATTTGGACCAGAAACAACAACTATCCTTTGCTGCTGATTAGATATTGGAGAAGACACTAATGTCGATCTTGTAACTCCTTGCATTGCAGTTCGTACAATAGCTGGTGCCTTTGGTGAAGTCCCTGGATTCGTTGAACCATTTGTCTAAAAGAAATTATTATTTTGTTAATAAGAACTGAAAAGAAATATTCTATCTATTTATAAAATACATATTTGTATAAGTTAAAGTGTATTGTTTATCAAATAGCGTGTCTGATATATTTTTAAATATAAATATATAAATTTTGAATCTGTATACAAAGGAACATCAAAAATGAATCATTTATTAATCTACTAAAAATTCCCCCATCAAGCATAATGGAATACTTTTTATGAGAAAGTAAAGATTAAAGAATTGAGAAGAGTAAAGATTTAAAGAAATTCAAGAAGAGTTATTAATATTTCTAAAAATTGAGTAGTTCATACTATCCATTGTAACATAAAGAGTAAGAAAACAAAATTTCACCTAGAGTGGACAAAAAAGGTAGGAGTAATAGAGAATTCACTTACACACATAAAAAACAGATTTAGGCCTTTAAATTAAAATCTTTCTTTATAAAATTTCTTTATACACTACATTCTGAGTAAACACTATTGCCTTTTAATAGATTTCCTTGTTGTCTTCCTTTAGTAATAGAAACCTGAGTATTGTTTTGATGATTGATGATGTGATGCTGTTTCTGCAGCTCTTAACAATGCCATTGCTCAAGTCAAACTTCAAGACCTTCAGGGGTCTCAGTTGTTCTTATTCTTTTAGATCTAGAATTTACTTAACCAAAATGCTTTCCTCTAGGCATTTGATTTTTTCTTCTTGGAAAAAATAGTGAGACTTTTTAAACCCACACTGATAAAACAAATATGAATTGTATGTATGTTAGTTAGATGAGGAATAACACTTTCTAAATAACAGGCTCATTAGATTGTTACTTCTGACTGGATAATAGAACATCAATGTGGACACTATAAAAAGATTTTTTTTTAATTTTTTATAGAAATGACACAATGAGGATATCATTTTCAAAGTTTAAATTTAATGAAGTAAGTTTAAAATACACCATTTGCCAAAATATTTAAAAATGCAACTTAAGGGAAATTTCATTGTCAAGAGTGAATGTCACATGGTCACTGATGTTACTGCAATGTAAGAGTGACCATTAATCCGAAATCTATAAAACATTTATTCTGTAGCTAATATTTCCATAAAATAAGTAGTCTAGTTTTCATCACAACATAAAATGAATATAACCAAAATTTCATCTGCATTGGACAAAAATTGTAGGAGTTATAAATAATTCATACACAGACAACAGCTTTTATATTAGTAATAACAGAGACTTATCACACTGCTACTACAGATAACATCAAAATAACACTTCTGATGATAGAAATGTCATTTTGATGTTACCAGTAGCAATGTGATAAGTCTCAGTTATCTCTACTATAGTATTTGAGATATTACTTTCATTCATAGATTTGCCTATATCAATTATATTTTATTATACTGAACAATTTTTATTGCTAATAATATTGTAATTAAATTAAAATAAATAAATAATTTCCTAAATAATAAGATTTATGAAAAATTTTCAAACAACATATTTTGGAATTTACTTCAATATGCTTTTTTGAAATTTACCTGATTTGGTGCCTTTACTTGAAGACGAAGCTTACCAGGAGGACATCGTGGAGCAGGTTCAGGTTGACTATTTATATCTTCTATGAATCGAGCAGATGTTTGAAACTTTTTAATACGATGTGCAGCAAATGCAGTTAAATAAAGCTCCAAATCAATAATTAAAAGATTCAAAGACCAAAGATTTACATTCTGAAAGTCAGAAATTAATAAAGTATTAATGAGCAAATTCAGTAAAAAATATAGTTTAAAACAATATAACAACAAGTAAATAGATACTTTTTTAAATATTTAATATATTTAAAAATTAAACCACTTTTAATTTGAGAATTANCTAGGCATTTGATTTTTTCTTCTTGGAAAAAATAGTGAGACTTTTTAAACCCACACTGATAAAACAAATATGAATTGTATGTATGTTAGTTAGATGAGGAATAACACTTTCTAAATAACAGGCTCATTAGATTGTTACTTCTGACTGGATAATAGAACATCAATGTGGACACTATAAAAAGATTTTTTTTTAATTTTTTATAGAAATGACACAATGAGGATATCATTTTCAAAGTTTAAATTTAATGAAGTAAGTTTAAAATACACCATTTGCCAAAATATTTAAAAATGCAACTTAAGGGAAATTTCATTTTCAAGAATGATGTATAATGATATTTAAATGCATTTTTTCAGCCTGGCTTACTATTCATATATAAGTATTTATAATTTCATTTTTGTATGAAAGATAACTTAATTCATATCCCACAACTAATAAGATACTACTCTGTATTCATTAATAAACAATAACTTCCAATTTAAAATAAAATTTATATGACTACTAAGTTATTTATTTCTGAGACAAACTCAAGCACTATGTTCTTTAAAGTGATGAAATCTAAAGATTGGCACTTTTCCACAAATCTGAGAAAAATGCTTCAATCTGGTGAACAAAACAAATGCAAGTGTAAATTATGCCCATTTTTTATTTTATTACTGATATTAACTCTCCCTATTATCATTTTTCTAATTACAGTGTACACAAATCTTTCCTTCTTGACATCTTATTCACATAAGCTTCATACCTGTATGAACATATAGTTCAAACATGATAATTCTCTTTGGCCTACTCAACATATGAGATAGCAAATATTGCCAATCCATTATCTCATAAACTGTACAGAACTGCCAAATATCTAAAGCCAGGCTTCATCAGATTGTCTTTTAGCTAGACATTAATACTGAAGCTAATTAATTTGGACTAAAGCTAAAGGTTAGTCTAATCTGTATAGGATTTTATCTTAGAAAAATATTTTTTAAATTAAAAAATACGAGAACATAAATATTTCATAACTATTACCTGAAACAGTAGTATTTGAAACAGGATTGATGTTCAATGGAGCTACTCGAACGACAGGTTTAGTGGTTGCTATTGTTGATATGCCACTAGTCAAATTTTTTATTATGCCAGATGAAGCATTACTTGTTAAAATTGGTTGATTTGCACTAATACTGAATTTATTTGCTTGAGTATAAACTAAAAATAAAATTAAAAAATCTTCCTGAAAACTATCATGAATTAAAAAGTTGGTTCCGTAGTTATTAGTTGTTGTTTTGCAATTATTTTTTTTTTTGTTTCTTCAGAGTTCCACTAAAATATTCAGATCTATCCAATATAATTATTGTTTGATGTCATAACTTATAATTACAAATTAAAAATCAGTTTTTTTTTTTAAATCTAGAACAAAAGCCTATATAAAAAAAGTATATTATTATATGATATGATAAAGTTCTTGAATTTATATGATATAGTGAAACTAAACAAGTAGAACACAATTATTTTAAATTGTGTGTGTAAAGTTTTTAATAATTAAATAATCACCTGTCTTTGATCGACTCTTGTAGTTCCATCTAATCTCAAATAAGTATGGCCATGGTGATTTAAAAACTGTTCAAACACATCAAGCATCCTTGTCATCTGTGTAAAAATTAGTACTCTGTGTCCTTCACTTTTCAATTGCCAGAGCAATTTATCTAATGTTTGAAGTTTACCTAAACAATTAAAAAAATATCAAATATATGCAATAAAAAACATTTTTTTACATTACACAATTTAAAAAATCTAAAATTCTACAATTTTAATTACTAATATTAAAAAATTTTTATGATTGTTATCTATTGTAGATATTTGTAGTTTAATAACTACAAATATCTAAAATGATTAACATTCATTGAGATATTTTGTAACATGTGTATATAATTTTTTTTTCTTATAGTCCAGTTTTCATGTCTTACTGTTATTCTATACATTTTTACAATTAATTATTACATTAATATTTAATTTTAAAAAAAATCGCTAAAATTTGCTATTTCGTTCACTTCTTAAATTTATATTAAATAATAATAATGATAATAAAAAAAAATAAATGTTTATTGTAATAAATATTAAATAATTATTTTATTAATCAGTCTTAATTTTAATATAGATTATGCNAATTATTTGAAGTGAAGTACTAATGACTAGTTGTTCATTGATATTATTATTATTAATATTATAATAATTTAATATTTATCAAAAGAAAATAGAGAAAGTAGATTCATAAGAAAAAAACCTGCTTTTATGTAACTTAATAATTAATACATAACTAATGAAAATGAATTACATATAAATACCAAGTAATTATATGTTTTACTAGTAAGGTTATTTTAATTTTAATTTTTAATAAATATATCTGTATTGATTGTGTATTAATAATTGAAATAAAATTTAACTGATGTAAATAATTAATAAAATAAAATCATTTCTCATTTTTAAATCTAATTACACTATCTAAATGATTCTATTAGCAAAAACATACAGAAGAATTAACAAATAAGATGTTTAACAAATTGTGATTAGTAAATAAATTTAATTACTAATACCATACATAGTCAGGCTTAAAATATAGAAATAATGTCATTACTACTCATTAAGAACTCATTAAGTTTCAGATCAAAAAGAGCTCAATTTTTTTATTTGGGTTTTTCCCTCTGTAAGATTGTGAAATTTATCTAAATATTTCTGAAACACACTACTTATCTTGTATTTTATAATTATATATCTTCTGCTATAGAAAGAAATGGGTTATATTGAAGAGCAATTATTTCTAATTGGAATTTTTTTCCTCATGATTTTGGAATGACTAAACATTTTCATAAATAGTTCATTATTTCTAAAATTGATAAACCTTTCTTAAAATTCACTTTTCAAATTTACTTATGAGTGTGAATATTTTTTAATATTTGTTGTTTTTTCATCTGTCAATAAAACTCTTGTTGATCTCAAAATATTATTGATCAATTGATTTTTAACAGATTCAACTTTTTAAATATTAATACTTAAATATTTTTAAATTGCTGATTAACAAGCTGTCTTCCATGCAGGTTCAAATTCAGGTCAGCAATATATTTTGTCATACCTACAAAAATTATTACTTGCCAAATTATTTGGGTTCCTCTAAATAAGTAAATCCTTCTTAAAAATCTTTTTATTTGTGCTAGAAGGACTGATTAGAACTGTTCTAATAAGCTTAGCTCCTCTACAGAGTCAACTAACATGGCTATAATAAATTTTACCATCATATTTTTAAAAAAAGTTTTTGAACTGTCTACAGTTAAGGTCTTTTAATCATATTAAATTTATAACTTCAATGCTTTATTCATTACAAATTTCATTAAAAAATTTTTACACACAGTTTCCCTTGATGAATTATATGGGTACAGTGTTTAATGATTTCATGTGAAATTTCACTCTTCTTATTAAAACATCTGATATATCAATACATAAAGGTATATAGGTCATATAACTTTATTCTTTACCAAACATAGATATTTTTCCAGCTACTAATGGGCCAGACTGAACTGCTTTGCAAACTGGATTATTGCTTGTGGATTATGTTCAACAGTCTTGAGATATATTAAAAATATAAAAATATTTTTACATATATTTAATTTTTATAAATATTATAACTTAATATTTTTAATATAACAAAGAAAAATTTAATGTTTTTACAAATTATACCTACTTTGAAAGGATCATATTCAAGAATTTTTCCTACTAAAGAAGCCAAATAGAAACATATTCCTTCCATCATAAATGGAGAAACAGTAGGACGAGATTCAAATAAATTTGGATGGTTGCAGACTTTCCTTAATTGCATCAGGACATTGATTACACTCATAAAATTTCCAGTTGTTAATGTTTCTTTTGTTCTATCAAAAATGTAATAAAACTTAAAATTTTATAAAAGTTACTGTAAAAAAGGGTTAGATTAATATAAAATTTTTCAAAAATAAATGAAGTAAAAAGATTAATTAGAAATATTTTAGTGGAATTTAAATAATCATCATCAAGAAAATTATTTTTCAGTTCATAATACAGTAGAATCTCATTTTCACAGATCATGGAACAATGGATTTCTCGGAATAAATTTTTTCTAGATCCTGCCAAATCAATGTAATTTTATCTCCTTTTAGAGGATCTTGGAATAACAGATTTTTCCTACCCCAAATCTATTGTAAACTTTGTCAACATTTAGTTAATATTTAAGTGTTTCAAGAAATTTGTAGAGTTTAATGATGCACTTGTTGGATTGCAATTTGAAAAAATTGTAGACCTATAAATTCCCACTGTCTGTCCTTCCTTAATCTCAACAACAGAGTTAAATACATGAAAGTCAAGACCAGTTATAAAAAGCCTAGGGACAGGAGGGCCCGATTAACTATATATTAACTTCTGGTGCAAACTGAAAGTTATGTTATTTCAATTCAAAACTTTTCCCCTGAAAGGAGTTAATAGATAACCAGCATTACTACTGTTAAAAGAAAAGTATGATGTATGGGACACTACAGTACTAATTTGAGGTGGAGAGCCTATATTTTAAATTAAATAAATTAAAAATTGCAGCCCAGCATTGTGACGATGTCACAATAAAAAATTGCTCATTACATCTGAGATATGTACAATTGAAGAATTGTACAAAGAGAGTCAGCTAGCTGATACAATTGAGCAGGAGTCACCTAGTAAACACTGCTGGTGGTCCAAATTTAGCAAGGCCATAGAGTATTTTCAAGTTGTGAAGAGCTTCCTAGTGAACAGCATAAACAAACAGGCTGTACTGTACATGACATTGCTAATATCAAGAGGTGTTGTATTCAACAGACAGAAAAGCAGCATTGAAAGAAACCAAAATTGACGAGATTTTTAACAAATCATGAAGTCAGGCAAAGTGCAAATGATCACATGTAATTTGCCTCTTTTTCATGCTTATAGTATGTACAGTTTTTGTCAACTTTGTCGTACACTCATATGGCATAATATATACATACATTAAAAACATATAGGATAAAGAATAGAGATCTCAAGGAATTGAATAATTTTGAGTCCTAATATTTCTTATATACAGGGGTTAAAAAATGGAAAATTTTTTGAATAATAGACACTTTCCTGGGTGTGCAGAAATCTGTTATTCACAATATAATGGATTCTCAGAACTACAGATAAATTTTGACGATCCATTAAAAAGAGATTCTTCTGTAAATGTATTAATTTTAGAATGAATAAAATACTTTAAAATGAGTAACATACTTTATCTCTCTCTTTTGACATATATTACTCAAAGTTGCTTAAAATTATACATCATATCATAAATTTGTTAGTAATTTATTTAAATTACATACAAAACTATAATTTAAAAAAACAATTATAAAATATATAAACAATGCTGCATACAGAGAGAGTTATAGCTGCATATAGTGTTAATTTTAAATACAATCAGTCCAACTCATAACAATTAATATTCACGAAAAACAAAACATATTAAGTTATTTTAAAGTCCAAAAAATTGGTCATGCTAATTAATAATACTGTATGGCATGTACAGTTAATATAACACTGTAATGGGAAATAAATACACTAACAGGAATATATAACTCACATTGGTGCCATTATAATAAATAAATAAACAAAAATAAAATAACCAACTTTCTGCAGATTTGCTTACTACGAGATTATCATTCTAACCTCAATTTTATTACAAAGTTAAAGTGAGCTAATAATAAATTAAATAAATAGAAATTAACAGAAATTAAAACCAGTTCTACATGAAGACTGCAATACTTTCTCAATACATTTTATGGTAGCTTTAACATGCCATTTTCCTACATGTTTCCATAAATATTAGTAAAATACTATAATTAATTAAAATATCATCCTTAAATCCTAACTTAAATATCATTCTTAAAATAACTCAATTAAGATACCTAGTAAGAATAAAAATGAACCAGCTTCCTATTATGATCTAGTTTACTGTACACAGTGTGTATAAGTGCTATTATATAAACTTATTCGTTATTGGAAATTAAAAATAATGATCCTTTACAATATTATTTTTTACGTTTGATTTACAGTTGGGTCTGAAACAACATTTCATAACAACATAGTGATTACCTATAACTAGTTCTGAATGTTATCTATATTTCTATATCTATTATAAACTGACTCAATTTTATTTAATATTCATCATTATTCATTAGTATATATAACAATTTTATAGTATAGTATTTTTTTAAAAATTTGACATTTACAATTTTTCTGCTATGACAATGTAATGAAATCACTAAAAGTGGAATTAAATCAAGATTATTGTTTTGCCATATAAATATCGTTCAATGTATGCAATACTTTATGTTGATATAATTTTTATTAAATTTCTGAAATCCTGGATGAAATTTGAAATTGCATTCTAAATGTTAATAAATGTCCAACAGAACAACTAAACTCTCACCTTTCAAAAAAAAAAAAAAAACACAAAATTAAACAATAATATAGCAAAAAGATTTATTTAATTAAATAATGTCTCATGAAGACTTATTAGAAATTCTTTCTGTCATTTTTGATAAAAAGAATTTCTGTCAAAGATTTAGGTAAACACTAAATGCTTAAATTACGAGGGAGTTTGATTCTGAACATTGATTCAGATAAATACTATTCCATTGGCTTCAAATTCAATTTCAACCTTTAACACGACCTGAAAAGTCAAAAATTGTCACCTGGAAACAAGGGTGGACCAATCAAAACGTGATGAGGGATATCATCAATCAACTGGAATGTGAAATCATGTAAAAAACCTTTCAAAAACTCATCTCTCTTGGACACAATGTTCTTTCTCCAAGATTCAAGTTCTATTCCCAACACAACCTGTAGAAGTTCTCATCCCAGATCTGCCCTTTTCTTCCCAATCCATGGCCTACCTGGATATGCTCCGACTGCATAACAAAATCTAAGTTTCCTGGGAAGTGTTTCTTGAGCAGCCAGCCAACTGTGAATGACATCTCATCCAACCCCACTTTCCTACCTGATCTAAAACTACTACCAAACAAAGCAAGCCGAGTCAACTGAAGCTGTCCATTTCTGAGGGACTGACTGTCAACATCAATAGTGACATTTGGAATTTCTGTGAACTCTATCATCCAACAGATAAATAAGATAAAATCCTTGAATCTTACGACGTCGTAAGATTTACCATTCCAATTTTAAAGAAAATTTTTTCTTAATAATTTATCGGTTTTTTGTGTGTTTTTAAGGAACTTTTTGAATATAGGTAGTTGTGTAGCCTAAAAAGGAAGGTCCAGCTGTCTGTACATTGTTCTAGAACACTGTAAAAATGGTAATCGTCTGAAAAATATATATTTTTAGAACGACTTTGTCTTTTAATTTGTAAAAAGGATAAAATCCTTTATAAAGTGACCAATAACAAAATTTTTAAGCAATGTTTTTATTTAATTAAACAGGATTAATTGTAAATGGTAAGTCTAAATCAGTGTCCAAATCCTACTCATGTACAACTTTTTTGATCCCTTGCCCATCCCAACAAACACCCGGTCAGTAAATCCCACAAATTTAATCATTGTTTTTTTCCTATGATATTTGAAACTCACTGTAATTTTATTCCTAAAAATATTTAAAGAAGTCTTTAATAATAGCAACTTATATTTTTATTTGAAATATTACCCAGCTATGCTGATTACTGATGAATAGACTTAGGAAAAGATGAAAGGAGTGTGCTACAGTAGGATTTTTTTCATTTACTAAGAAACTGAAGCTGACATATAACATATAACATTCTGTAACATTTACATGATCTTCTGACAGAACACTTATGCCTTTAAGCAATTGATATTTGCTACTATAATCTTGATATATTTGTAGTATCAATCTAAGAAAAACTTTTTCTTTATCAGTAATAATCCTTCAATGGATTCAACTAAACAAATCCTATTAATATTTATACAATGAAAAATAGAATTCTGTTTACAAATCTAATGCAAATTTAAAAATCTAAAAGATAGATAGATTCAATTTACATTATAAATTAGCATATAATAGTCAGAATATGAAGAAAACTTAAAAAAATAAATATTCTTTTTCATATATTTTAATCATTTTAAAAGAAATTTTCTCTTTTAGAATGTCATTAATTATTTAAAACATTTTTGAATTAATGTTAAATGAATTAACCCATATTTTAAAACTCAAAACAATATTTCAGCAGTTAACAACATTTTTTCTATTTCTTCTTTGTCAAAATTATTACCATAAAAACATTAATTTAAAAAAAACTAATGGAAAAAATAAATAATTATATTTATTAAAACAATAATTACTTTGTTTGGCTCATAAAATCATCATATAGGTAACGTTGTCTTTTTGAAAGTCTACACATAATAACATGTTCATATTTTTTTGGTAATTGTTTTTCAACTTCTGACTTGAGTCTTCTGAGAAGAAACGGTCTTAATACCTATTTAAAATAAAAATGTAAATTAATTCATTCATGCTCAAATAAAATGGCAGTTTTTCAAATTTATTTACAATGTTACATGTTACTTCCACCCATTGTGGCAATTAGAAGTTTTGGAATTTTTACACAGTAATATAGCCATAGTAATTAACAGAAACTAAAGCACAAATTTCTAATAACAAATTAAATTACAACAGATTTTTTCCACCAAGATATTTTTTTGGTAAAAGTGTTAAACTCATCTGCCCTAAATATAGATTTTTATCTTCATACAAATTCATTTAATACTTTAATCTAAATACAGTCTAAAAAAAATGCATTGTAATTTGTTATAATAATTAAAAATAATTATACAAAAATATATTTTGTTAATTAACAACAAATAATAAATAACTAACTAACTATAACAGAAAACTTTGTAAACAAAATATAAAATAAATATACTGAAATCTCATTATAACAAACTTGACAGCAATCCCAGAAATGTTAAACTGAAAGTTTGTTGTAAAGAAAAATGTATATAAATCATCATCAAGCAAGTTAAACAGCTAAACATAAAGTCCACACATGAAACAAAACCATTATATGCTACTTTTATCATTTCTGTTACTTATTTCATATAAATATAGTAGTTCTGAAATCATCAATTTAAGTCACGCAATCAAATATTTTTGCACACTTTGGTTTCCTGTGCAAGATAAGCTCAAAGATGTTTCTGTCACCTAAAACTTCCTTGATGCCATCTTACCATCTTACTCTCATTTCAAGTGAAGAATAACATAACAAAAAAGTATAAACAGCCATCTTTACACCTACATTTATGACAACTTGTACGTCTTACTGAGGTTAGCACACCTGCAATTTATTACTTCATTCTGATCTCTCTCTTCTCTTAGGATATAGTTGTACATAAGTTAAAAGGCAATAACAATCAATTATTTATCGTGACAATGTCGGGCTGCAATTTTTAATCAGCTTTTTAATTTATTTAATTTAACAGATATATGCTCTCCACCTCAAACTAGTGGTGGTTTGTTATCTATTAACTCCTTTCAGAGGAAAAGTTTTTAATAACATGACTTCCAGTTTGCATAGGGAGTTTGAATATAGTTAATTGGGGCCCCCTGCCCCTAAGGTTTCTATATTTGGTCTTATCTTTCATCTATCTATCTCTGTTCTTGAAATTAAAGACAGACAGCCAGACAGATAACAGTGGAAATTTATAGGTCTACAATTTTTTCAAATTGCAGCCAAAAGTAGAGAAAAAGAAATAACAAAATTGTTACAGTGAAGTGAAAATTGCAGAAGCTCTATTACTATGAGAAAGATAGAAAAGAGATGTTAAACTAAGTTTGTTATAAATATAGTTGTACAACAAAAGATTTTGTCATATGTTCCTATGATGTTCAAGTCAAGGAAATCTAAAAGTTCATTATTATGATGTTTGTTATAACAAGATTTCACTGTATTAGTTTGAAATTATTTTATAAATTCATACTTCATAAAAATAAACAAACAAACTCTTCCTTTATACTAAAATTAAACTTAAATTTATAATCAAAAGTTCAATACAATACAAAATTATTTTTACCTTATGCAATCTTTTTATCAAACTTTCATTATATTCATGACTTCCTTCAATCATTCCAGTAACAGGATTAGCAAACCAATCCCGAAATTCTCGATGTGATTGAAAAACATTTGGCATTAAAAAATGCATTAGAGACCACAGTTCCATTAAGCTATTTTGAAGAGGTGTGCCTGTCAACAGCAACCTGCGAGAACTGTGAAAATTAAGTAGCATTTGCCATCGCTGAGATTTGAAATTTTTAATATGTTGAGCCTAAAATAGTAATAACAACAACATTTATAACAATTATAAATATATAATGCTTTAAGAAACTTTCTGAAACTAAAATCAATAATTATTTACCTCATCAAGAATGAAATACTTCCATTTCTTTCTTCGAAATGAATAATGATCTTGAATAACCAGTTTATATGATGTAATGCATACATGAAAAGCATTTGGTTTCGTCCAACCCTACATTTTAGTAAAATGACAACAACAACATTCAATAAAGATGCAATCACACTTTTAAATTAAAAAAATTATTTACAGAAATTAAGATATTTACCTGTCTTTTCTGTCGTCTTTCTTTTGGTGTTCCATAATAAGTAATGATTTTAAATGCAGGACACCACTTTTTAAATTCCATTTCCCAATTTAGCATTACACTTGTTGGTACAACAATTAAATGTGGACCCCAAATTCCTGTTTTTTTAATTAATTATTTGTTAAAACTTATTTGCATAAAATCAAATTATACAAATCCTTCTTACCTTTTTCACAAGCTAGATGAGCTAATAAGGCAATAGTTTGTATAGTTTTTCCAAGACCCATTTCATCTGCTAAAATTCCATTCAATTTACGATCATGCATTGTTACTAACCAATCAAGACCAATATGCTGGTATTCTCTCAACTGATGTTTTAACAAAAATGGTATCTTAGTACAAACCTATGTCATATAAAATAAAATCATTGAATTCAGTAATTCTTAGAAATAAATTAAATTAATAGTATGTTATTTTTAAAAATAAATTATTTTAATTTAATATTGTAATCATAAACTTCTTTACATTCATATATTACCAATACACTTTGAAAACATTTAACAAACTTTGAAATAAATATATGATTGTATTTATAATTACAGTGAAAATATTTAAATAATTTAATTAATTTAAAAAATTTTTAATACATAATTCAAGTAGTGAATGTAACTAAGCTAAATATGATTAAGCAAACTGAAAGTTCTTTTATTTCAAATTTCTTGAACTGAAGTTTATAAAAAGTTTGAATTGACTATACAGTGATACCCTGAACTTACGCGATAGGTGGGACTGAGCAATAACCGCATAAGTCGGGTATAATTTCGCAATTTGTGTAAAATTCAAGTCAGATGTATGTAAGCTAATAAATGTTCTTGTTAATCTTATCTCGTCTTTCGATTCGTTCATGGTTACAAGAAATCACCACGTAGAGTCTCTCAAGTCTCCGTAGATATAACAAACACAGAAATAAATAACACAAAATAAATTGTAGCTATGTGTCGCTTCCGCGCAACACGTCCGAGCATGTAAAGTGAACAATAGTGTGGGGGGAGTGAGTAATCAAGAGCTGCATGGCGCTCAAACAAAAAACAAATCGACGAGATTTGAAAATCGCGTAACTCCAGGTTCGCGTAAGTCGAGGTATTACTGTATACTATTTTTAAATAGGTAATGAGTTCATATTTAATATTTCTTCTTTCAATAAAGTTGAAAATGAAATCACTTATCATATAACATCACAGAAATAATTTGATATAAAATAAAAATCTTATCACACAATAAGAAACAAAAGTTAATAAAAAAAATAATTATTCAGTTTCTTTAGTCCTTACATTTCTCATTAAACAATATAATATAAGAAAAATCAAATTAAGATTTTTATCTATATTATCAAATAAAATCCACATTACTTTTTAATAAAGAAATTTTATCAAAATTGTACATAGTGTTTGAACAATTACAATACATGCTTTTGTACTTTATGTTAAAGTCTAAATTAATTTTATATTTTATAAATTTTATTGTTCTTTTTTATGATAAAATTATTAGGAGTAAGAAAAATAAAACAGAAATTGATCTCATCAATCAGTCTAATCACTCTTGTAACTAGTAAACTGATTTGCTTGACTATTCATTAATGATGATTGTCATTTCAGTTTATTCCACATATGTATTAGCAATAAATGAAAAAATTTATTTTAAAAACTTTCATTATTTACTTATCTTGTATGTATTTATGAACTGTTACAAAAATTAAAAATCAAAATCAATTTACTTGAGTAGTTGAAAGTGTATTTCCTTTTGGCTGAAAACTTTCTGCTGCAGCTGCAATATCTGTAATCTCTTGACTTGGTCCTCTATTTTTGGTTTCATCCTTTTCTTCCTATATCATAAAAAATTTTATTATTATTAACTTGTGGTAAAATGACTTTGATAACAAATTACTGTCTTGTCTATGTAAACACAAAAGATTAAGTAATTTACATTTGGAATAATTAACAAACATTTATGTATTAAATTTGCTTGTTCTATTATTATTCATAGAAATGTAAATACAGTCAAATCTCAATATAACTATTATCAACAGAATAATAAATCCCTCCATAACAATAAGAAATATAGTTCCCTATTGCGATAACTTCTAATGCAATCTTGGTTTAGCAATATATTTTTTACTATATACACAATATTTTCCTTCCTCTAAAGTAATAATAATGTAGTAAATTATATTTTAATTAATCATTTGTTTTTTCAAATCAAAATGTAGTACTCTCTTAATACAGTTATCACAAACTTTACCAGCATTCAGGAGAGACAAGAGCCAGATTTAATGTGTTTTAGTATTTAGCATCTAAACTTTTGTTTGGCACTTAAAATTAATTTATCATTTTTTGCTTTGCTTAGCTGAAACATTAACTTTTGAACAAAATTTTTAAAATAATATTTAACATGAAACAATGAAAGAAACAAATTTTAACTTTTTTAACTCTTTTCTTTTTGTCACTTTTTGGGTTCAAATTTTTCATTTCCAGTTTTTCAAATAATACATGTAATAATACAGTTTATAGTAAAACTGTGTATTATTCAAAACTCAAAATCCATCAGCACCTGATTTTACTAGGTAAAAGTAATTGTAACAAAACCTCTTTTAGAATTAGTGTAATTTGCAAAACTAAGACATTGCTATATAATTTCTGGAGAAATTTTGTTTAGTTAAACTCATTTAACATAACTAAGTTCTTTTAGAAAGGGTACAGGGATGTCTTAGTGTTGCAAATTGCTTTCAGTAATTAAATTAATAATATAAATGTATTCTTCTTAAGAAATTATATTTCAGAATTCATTTAAAATTTTACTTTTTCACTTTTATTTTTGCATAGTTTACACAATCTGACTAATTTTGGATTTCAATGTTTAATAAAGTGTAGAAATAATATACAATAAATTTCCTAAGTTTTGTACTAGAAGAGATTAATAATACTATATATTTTTCTGTTCTAACATTGTCTAACTTTGCAAAAACAACCCTATTTGTAGTCCAATAATGTTAAATAGGAATGAGATACTTCTTTATAAACTCTAACTATAACAAGGATGATCAACCTGGCAATCAGTGTATCATTTTTGGATGATCACAGAAGTATGGCTGTGTTAAAATGCAAAAAACATGGTCTAATTTTGGTAGAAGTATTAAAGCCACATTTCTCACAGATGAATCTTTTAACTATTTATTATGAATTAGTAACAATCCATAAGACATTAATACAAAGAATTGCTGCTTGTGTTGAAAATCATTGCTAGGTTATGTTATTTTAGTAATTATTTTTTCACACTTTAAGCAATCTCAGTTAAGTGAAAAATGAATGAGCCAAAGAAAAGCAAAATTATTTGTGTAATAAAAGAAATAAAATTATTTTTTTTTGTTCTGGTAAAAAATAAATTTTATTTAATTTATGTTTAGTGTGTATTTACTAAAAAGAGATAATCTGGAATGATAAATTACTGTGCAATAAATAAATATAAGTATGTTTGCAGCATAATTATATTAGAATAGCTTATTAAGCCATAATAAAAACAGTGATGCAGAATAGATCATCAGTGCTTTTAACTCATGAAAGTCAATCACACCCCACTGTAAGATGGCCAGGTCTGTACTATAACAATATTTTTTTCTTGTTCCACTAAATATCACTAGGAGAATTTGACTACAAATTTTTAAAAAATTTTATATTAAAATAATAATTTGTGATAAGTTTTTTGAAGGCAGATTTGGTTCCTGCTTAATGAATCATGACTGCAGATAAATACTTTGATAACCCTGACAAGATTTGTGTATTTTCATAAAAAATTGTTGTGTTTTATTTCATTTTTAGTTTTTAGAAGAGACTTCTTATCTTTCTTTAACTCATTCTAATATTTTTTGGATTTTTTAGTTTTACTTATTAAATTTTATAAATCATATAAATCAATCAATTAAAGTTTTTCTGTTGAATATTTTAATTTTTTTGTTTTTTTTTTCTTAAAATGTTGTTAGTGTGATTAAGTATATTCAGTTTACTATGATTTCTTATAAGATGCTTACTATAGTAATTAAAAATTATATACAGAACTATATATTAGCTTTAATTATTTTTTCTTAAAAATATGCATTATGCAATAATATTTATTTAATTCTGTTTTAAAATTAATGGATGCATTGCATTGCATTGTGATTAATCTTATAAACTTTGTGATAGAATTAAAATTTTAGTAAACAGTATTCAACTTTTTAAGTACAAAAATTCTTGATAGCCAATCCTACCAAAAATAGCAAAAATATTAAAACTGCAAGTTAATCATGTATTAATTATAAACACTAATCTTAAATACAGAAAATACATGGAAAAATTTAATTTGTTTAAATCTAACTAATACAAAATATTCAAAAAGAGTTACATATTTAAGAATATAACAATAAAATTTGTTAATTTAACAATTTTTTGGCCTATTTCATAGCCATGCTAAAGTTATGGGAAATAAAGAGAATTAGAACATCGGCCTTCCAAAAATAGAATATGTATTAGGAACATTGATGTTCCAATTCTTTAGTTTAACCTGAGGATGGCCTATGGAATAGGCCAAAAACGTTAGTTTTCAATAAAATGACCTCAGCAACATAAGATGTGTTTTAATAATCTAATTATATACCTCTTTATTACTATGTTCCTTTTCTGGATTTATCAAATATTCCATTCCCACATCAACAATTTCATCTTCATCATCTGTCCCAAATTCTATTTCATCATCTTCCTCCTCCTCATCCATATCATCCTCCTCATCATCATCATCATTTTCTTCAGTTTCATATGCTAAAAAATATGGATTTTGATATTTATCAAATAGCATGGAAATGAAAATTACCTAATTAATATCATAACCCTAAAAAATAGTTGTCTTTCCCATTGTTGTTATGAATTTTTAGACAGAATACACCTAATATAAACTAACACTTAAAACAACGTTTGTTTCATTGATTTTCCTCTAATTTCACTAAAAAATTTTCACAATTTTGTACAGATAATTCTGACAGATAAAATTATTTAATTGTATTTTTCAATTATTTCATTCAACATATGAACAAATATCTTAAAGTGCTGAAATTGTAATTGTGACTATATAGAAAAATAACTGATCTTGTAATAATTACTTAATAAAACTTCTTATCATTACTGTTTTTTTTTTCCTTTTTTTTATAGCCAAATGTTCTTTATTTTCTGGATGCCCCTCATACTAAAGTTTAATACATATTAATTAAAAACCTGCCAATAAAAAGTTTACATTCCAATTAATTTAGATCTTTGTCAAAATATAAAAAAAAAAATTGTTATTTTAAAAATTAATACCTTTATTGCTAGTAGATGTCTTTCCATTATCATCATCCATTTCATCTTCATCATCAAGATCTGATCCTTCATTTTCTTCACTATTTGAGGAAGATTCAACAGTAGATATATCAACATCGCTAGCATAAGCTGCAGCATATTTCTCAACTAATTCTTCCAGTGGGATATCATCTAATATTAAAAGGTTTAATTACAATTAATATAATTTTTTTAACATACTACAACTGATGTTTTTTTTCTATTGTTTCACTCAGTTATAATCTTATGTGAAAAAAAAACTATTCCAACTTTTCTAAAAAAAACAAAAAACAGAAAGAAAAGAGAAACAAAATATCATTAAATGTATTGCCTGGTAAAGCTGTTTAAACAACTTTGTTAAAAGACAGTTTAGCACTTCCATTTTAAATTAGTATACGTGATACGACACCTGTGCAACTGCACCATAAGTACCTTAAACCTTCCCATAGGCACTTTATTTCAGTGAGTTCAAACTATTTGCTAATTTTTTCAGTGCATGTATTTTCTATTATAAAATACAGTAGAGCGTCGATTATCCGAATCAATTGGGAATTGGGATTGTTCAAAAAATCGATTTTTTGAATAACCAATTATGTACAAAAAAATACATTATTAATATAGTATATTAGTATATCCCAATAATAGTATATAATTTATATCCCATGTTTAAATTTTTCTCCGCTGATGTCACTTCGCATTAAATTTTCGTTGATGTTAAGCCTAACAAAAATTTTAATAATAATAATGTATCATTAAAAATTATTTCTTTATATACTTTAAATCTTTCTTTCTAATATATTGAAAAATATAAAAACAAAAAAAAAATTATACTTTAGAAGTTAATCTAGTATCAAAAACGTTCGATTCAGCATGACATAGTCTGACTGGAACGCTTTTGGTTAATCGGCATTTGGATAATCGTCACTCTACTGTATATGTATGTATATAATTATTTCTAGTCATCAAAATTCACTTTAAAGCAATAAAAAGAACAATGAAGTTAGAGTTTATTAGAATGAAATTATCACATCATGTCTTAGCTCTCTGAAATAGCTTCATTATATAAATAGGGAATATTTACCAGAAGTTTATCAGTTTACAAGATACAAATTTAAGTAGGAATATCTAGTAATATCAGTTATAGCATGGATTAAACACACAGACAATGAACAAGAGAAATATACAAGTGACATTATGTGTGTACATGTATTTGGTGAGAATTTTTCATGTTTTCTAAAAACACTTTACATAAAATAAAAGTTGTTTATGCAATCCTAACTGCAACTTAAAATCAACATATAACTTCCCCATCACATAATCCAAAGTGTCTTTTAAACACAGAAAATCCTGAGAAATCAGAAATCAGGTTATCAACAGAAAATTATGGTAATGATTTTATTATGATTAAAAAAATCATACTTATTAATCTTACTTAATTCTTGTAATTCCTTTAATTCTGCGTCATAATCTTCTTTGCTTTCCTTTGATTCTTGCTCTTGTATTGTAGATTCATCATCCTTTATATCATCATTACTTAAATAATATTCATCATCTTTATTTTCAAACTGATCCTCCTAGGTTAAAAACAACAGTATAATTATTATAATATTTATTATTTTATTATTACTTAATAACTTTATCAATGATTATTTTAAATTATTCATTTCAATTAACTAAAATTAATTAAAACTGAAATTGTAGTTTCTATATTTCTATTACTCTAGGATTATATTCACTAAAAAACAAACTTCATATTAAAAGCAAAGTTTAAAAGTTCAGTAAATTGATTTGACATAATATATCTAAGTAACATAACAGGAAATAAAATAGCATCAGACAATGTGTAACTGCTTATCTTGAATTGAACATAAAAGAGCTAAGCAAATTTGAAGTTTTTAATTTCAAAAAAGGCATGTCAATAATTTAATATTTGTTTGTTTGGTAGTTATGGCAATGCAACACTTGGGCAATCTACCTAGGGGGGATGCCTTCTGGGTGGTCCTTCAAGGAGAAACTGGCCCCTATTTAGGCGTTACAGACATGGAGAAAACCCGGAAAACTCCATGTGCCAGCCTGTCCGAGCGAGGCGCAAACCCATGACCAAACTCCAGGAGTTCAGGTTACGAAAACTGCTTGACTACTGGTGGGCCAATAATTTAATATATATCAATTATATTTATTAAATAATCAAATAAATATTTAAACTCAAATTACATCAACAAATCTAAAGAAATTGCTATCGATTATAAACATTGACAAATCATTTATTCTGTTTGATTCATAATAAGACAATACTGATTAAATGAATGAAAGGTCCATTCCAATACATCTAACCAATGAATTCAATCTAACCATAATCAAAATATGATTTGTTAATATTCTATTTCATTAAAATTTTAACAAATGTATTAGAAAATAAAATAGTTCCTGGTAAACTTTTTGTTGAATTCTTATTGCATCTAAATTCAGAATACTTTCAGATTAACTTTTAGGTATAATTCAAATCATATCTATTGGGATTGATTTAAACATAGTGTGTATCCAAAATTTCAAGCCTGAAATTTTCTGCTACTCTTATTAAACTGACTTCAAATCAAAAGATAAATGTAATCTCTAATTGTAGATCAGCTGCTTATGATATCCAACCATAATCCAAAAACATTATTTTTAATGTTTTAATGAGATTTAGATTTAGATATCCTATTCTATTAAATCAACACTATTGTTTACATATAGAATATATATATATATATANATTGCAGCCTGACATTGAGACAATGTCACAATAAATAATTGCTCATTATATTATTATTATATATTTCAATATTTTCTGAAAGAAATTTGCTTATCTTGTAGATTAAAAAAATTCTACAAATTCTTCTTAATTTAAAAACAAATTTTAAGTACTCTTACCATCTGAACCAGCCTGAGATCCTGATGTTTCATTTAAAGATGTGGGAGTACTCCCAAAAATGGACTGATTCATTCCTTGAGCTACTTTCTTCATTACAGCTGAAAGGAGATGCTGGTTTTTCTAAAATATTAGATGGGAGAGTTTTAAGAAGTTCTTCTAGTGGCAATTCGCTTTCTTTTTGTAACATCTGTATTTCTTTATCTTGTTCATCTTTGTTGATGCCTTGTGCTTCTTCTTTTTCAATTGTTTCTTCGTCATCTGTTTCACTAGTATTTGGTTCAAAATCTTTATCTGAAAATAATCATATATAATACTATGAATTTCAATTTTCATAAAAATTTGATAATTTACTCAAAAATAAAGTAAATACATTGCAGAAGGTTGAAATATAAAAGTATATTTTACACTATAAGTTCATAAACAGTAAATAAAAATTTAAAATTCTGTCAGGCTAATGAATATTTTCTACGTGTAATTTAAAACAATAACATTGTGGAAAGCATACAGCTTAATAATTGGGCTGCAATTTGAAAAAACTGTAGACTTATAAATTCCTACTGTCATCCATCTGTCTGTGTTTCCTTAATCTTGAAAGTTAGATAGACAAAATCTGAGACCAGATATGGAAAGCTTAGGAGCAGGAGGCCCAATTAACTATATACAGTAGACCCCCCTATAAGACAGGTTCCTATAATTACGATTCCTATATGACGGCGAAAAAATTGTGGCGGTATCTGTACACAACAGTAAAAAAACTCCTATAATTACGTAAAACGTCATCGGGCAGCCAAACTACTTTCCCGCCGTCCAGCGCCACGCTACGAACAGTTTAGGCAAGTAAATTGAGTTTAGTTTCGTTTGTACATATAATTATATATAAATTAGGTACTGTACATATAATTATATATAAATTAGGTACTGTACATATAATTTTATATAAATTAGGTACTGTACATATAATTATATATAAATTAGGTACTGTATATATAATTATATATTAACTTAATTTATTGTAACTTTATTATAATTATATATATGCTTTCCGTCGTCTAGCGCCACGCTATGGAGAGTTTAGGCAAACTATCGTCTGTACAGTATGTAAATTAGGTACCGTAAGTCTAATACAGTACTGTAATTTTATACATTTCGTGTGAAAGAAACATTCCTTATTCAATGGCCATAAAAATTATTTATATTAATGATGTCTCCAAAGTTCAATGAAGTTTTCGCAGAAAAATAACATCAGAAATCGCAGCCACGGTTTGCTGAGCTGTTCCGCGACGAAAACAAGCTTGAGCAATGGCGATGTCGTATGGTGCACACTCGATAAGTAATCCTACAATTTTTTGTTTACAGCGTAGTTTATACGGATTATTTCCAAAAAAATATACGTATTTTGGAATGTTGAGTCAAATTGATCTAGAATCGATTAATTTTATGGAAGAAAACTTTTCAAACAGCCGTAGTCCGTAAAGTGCATACGTGTCGGGCTGTGATTGGCAAGGACTCTTAAGAAATCGATTCATAAAAGACGGAACGTATCTATCGTCTTATAGGGGGGTCGACTGTACAAACTTCTGATGCAAATCGGAAGTCACATTATTTCAATTCAAAAATTTCCCCTATAAGGAGTTAGAGAGATGACAGCATGACTCTGTTGCTCATAGGAAAAGTGTTATCTACAGAGAGGCAAGCAAGATACTACTAATTTGAGGTAAAAATCATATATTTCAAATTACCGTATATCTCAGCAGATAAGACGACAGTTGAATCATAAGAAAAAAGGCCCCCAAAACCCGGGGGTAGTCTTATAGGACAAATATAAAAAAAAAATTAGATCGAAATTTATATAAATTAAAATCATTATAAAAAAATGGAAAAACTGTAATTATTTACTAGTAGAGAGTAGAGTATGTCCATAAAATAGAACAGCCCATACGACATTTTTGTGAATAGTCAAGGTCATTACCCAAATGCCCAAATCAGTGTAAATGTTTGTAACAATCGCAAGGCTGTGCTGCCAGATGCAAGAAAATAAAATTTGAAGTTCTTCCAAAAATTACGAATAGGACATAATTCCATATACACTATACAGTGTTATTATCCATATGATGATTGTTGATCTAAACTAAATTCACAGGCCATTGATAGTTTGGGGGTTGTCTTATAGGACAGATATATGCTAAAACTATAAAACTTTGATGAAAATTTATACCTCATCTTATCTTCCGAGATATACGGTAAATAAATTAAAAATATTATTAAAAATTGCAGCCTGACATTGAGACAATGTCACAATAAATAATTGCTCATTATATTATTATTATATATTTCAATATTTTCTGAAAGAAATTTGCTTATCTTGTAGATTAAAAAAATTCTACAAATTCTTCTTAATTTAAAAACAAATTTTAAGTACTCTTACCATCTGAACCAGCCTGAGATCCTGATGTTTCATTTAAAGATGTGGGAGTACTCCCAAAAATGGACTGATTCATTCCTTGAGTCAACCAAGAAGAATATTTTTCTGTTTGATCAACAATAAAATTTAAATGTAAATCTAAAGCTTTCTTCCTTTTTTCTTCAAGTCTTGTTTGTTGTTTAAATTCAACCAGCTGAAAATAGATGATTTTATCACCATGGTAAATGAAAAAAGTTCCAAATAATGTTTTAAACTAATGATTATAATATAAATATGCACTGATAAATTTTCATATTTAAAAAACATTGTGAACAATTTTATTCAATATAAAAACTGAAATTAAATTTGTATATGAATTTAAAAAATCATTTTAAATTGTTTTCTATAAAATTTCTTATTAATTTTCATTTATAAAGAATTAATTTAGTTCATATATTGTTGTTTGAATATTTGATTTTAAAAAATATTTTAAATATTAGATTATTTCTACATATAAAACATACTTTCACTTACCAATGGTTTAAATTTAATGACAAGTTTATTTCAAAATAATATATGCATATATAGACTATTTTATTTAAAAAGATAGGCAAATGCTATTTTAATTTATTGTTTCAACTTTTAATTTGTTACTTTTATAGAAGAACTATTACAATAATAACTTTAATTTTGGCATCTCTAAACAATTTGTTTAAAAAATACACACTGTGAAGAAAGATATGATATCACTATAACTTCTCAATTCTCTCTGAATTTTTTAAAGGAAAATTTTGTATGTAATTCAAAGGCTTTGAAAGCAAACTTTTAGAAGGCCAGTGCTTATATATATATATATATCAGAAACACAAATATGTTTCTGATTTATATTTTAAGCCTTGATTTTTAGCAAGAAGTGGAAAAAGAAAAAAACACTACTCAGCCCCTCAATTTATTCTGTATTCTGAAATATTGGCATAATTATTCTGTATGAAACAATAAAAATTTTATTTATATGACAAATTCAATACAAGCTGTAAAACTATTATATTAAAAATATATTGTAGACTTGTTAAAAACATCTAAAAAATTTTTTTAACACTTTAAACACAAACAGTTTTAACAGTTATTTCCTGAATAAAATAAGTATTTTTAAGACAATATTCTTATATCATTCTATTAAAGTTTAAATTAAAAACTGACATCAGTAACATATCATAAACTTTGTTTCATAGTATTAAATTTTCTGCGGGATACAGTTCTCAAAAAATCATTATTTTAGCAGTAATAAAAGTTCATTTTTAAAATCATCATTTCTCAGTACTATATAACTTCTCCTTAAAAAATTACCTTTTCAGTACAACATTAGATTGGCCTTTTACATTCAAAATAAATTATAGATGCCATGCCAAAACAAACAAGATAAATCATCATTAATTTAAACAAGCCGTCTGTAGATACACATTTTGATAACAAGACAGCACTAAAAAATATATCAATTCATACAATCTAATACTACTATATTTTAAGAAGTATTCAGTAAGCTGGTTTTTTTTCACAATTAAATACACTTAAATATAAGATTATTATTTATGTAACAAATTAAATTGTTAATTTTGTATGTTACAGTTAAAATAATAGAAATAATTCCTATTTTGAAAATTACTAAATCAATATGTAATACAAATTATTATTTTATTTTAACTTAATTTAAATAATACATTTATGCTATTTTATATATCATATAAGGAATAATTCAAAATATTTTATTTTAAAAATAATAAAACAAACTATAAAAATTATAGTCAATATCAACAACTTATTAAAATGATCATAGACATTATTAATACAGATTAAAAGTGTGCAAATAATTGTAATATGAAATAACCATAATACTGTTTGTTTATAAATGTTTTGGCTTTAGCAATTTAAAAAAAAAACAACTTTACATTTATGTTAAAAAAAAATATTCATAAAATACCTTATTGTTCAAATGAATATGAAATTTATATAGCTAAAATTTTTTGAGAAAAATTAAAAATTTATTACATCATCAAATAATACACATTTCATGCTATTTAAAGTTTACAATAACAAAATAACATTTTTTATGATCATTTCTGTTTTTTCTTTCCTTATAGAAACTTATGGACTAAACTTGTTAAAATAAAGAAAAGAAAAACTTCAAAGAATCAACAAAAACAGATGACATTGCTATAGTTGAATATAGTAGTTGCAGGAACTTAAAATGTAATTTTGACTCAAACAGTTATTGATGTTGTTATTACCTTTTCAATGTTTGTCCAGAACTGTTTTATTTCTTTTGCAATCTGGCTTGCAATTTTACGTAATTTTAAATGTTCTTCTTTTTCAGCTCTTTCTGCTTTCATTTCTCTTTCTTGATGATATTTTAGCACCATGCGAGAGCACTAAGAAAAAGTTAATAAAATATCAAAAATATTTTACTTCATAATTAAATGAATTACATTTCTTTAAAATTTAATCAATTTAATAGACAAGAAAATTACATTTAATTTGTTCATAAAGATATATTTTAAAATTAAGTTTTTTTTTTTTTTTAATTGCTTATATTTTCATGTTAGTATTTTTAAAAGCTAGTTAAGTTCTCAGAATATCTTGCAAGCCATACAATAATAAATTTATAAAAACAAATAAAATATTTTTTGTATCAGCTAAAACTTATAGTTAAAAAATAAAAATCTCTCATAATTAATTTGAGCGTCAATATTACTGTTTTAGAAACTAATTTGTATATTATACTGCATACTAAAATATTCTTTTAATCTAAAATACTTAATAAATTTAATTTGAGATATTTTATTTGTAATTTTCATAAAATTTTAGTCATATTCAAATATTTTATATTTTTTTTCATATTTTATTAATTTTAAAAATATAGAAAAATAATTCTCTAATTACAAAAAATTGAGTTTATTTGTGTTTGATTTAGATATAAAATATATTTTTTGCAATTTTGGCTTCCCAATCAAAACCTTAAAAGACATTTTATGATGATAATGCTAACAATAATATTAACCTTCTGTTAGTCGCATGGGTCTGACAGACCCGACGCGATTTTCAGTCAAAATTTTTTAATATTAAATATTTTTTGAAAAATTTGAAAAAATTAATATTCCTCAAACTTTTTAATTAGATTAACATGCTGTTAAAATTTTTTGCATAGCAACGCTCATTTTTTAGAAAAAAAATGCTTCACGAGTCGCATGGGTATGACAGACCCATGCGACTCACGGAGGGGGTAAAAAAACGTCAATTAATTTGTCGCCGTTGCCGATAGCGAGTGTCGCAATAACTTTATCGCGCTGAAGTTGTCGCGCGGTGTCTATTATACTTTATAATATCGTTATTTATTTATATATTTATATTTTTGTTTTTTTTTGTTATAATATTGTTTTCAAAATTAATGTCTAATTAACTTTTAATCATTTTAATTATTATTCTATTTTTATCATATAATTTTTATATATTACTTATGATGATTCTTCGTATATTAGACGATGCAAGTTGGCATTTTTTTACATTTACTAACCAATGGGAAACTTGTGAAAACAGTCTAGCTATAAATTGCCGGGAAATATCTCCCCCCTTTCGGCAATGATCTTGGAAATCAAATGTAAACAATCGCTATAAATTCGCTTGTTTTATTCGCGTTTTGAGCTATAAATTGTTAATTAAATATTGTTTCACAATGTATATACGAGTAAGCATGTTCTCAAAACTGTCTAGCAATAAATATTCCCGGGAAACTCCAACTCTCTATAGTAAGTCTATGGAAGATGTTATTGCTGTTAATTGGCTTTAAAATTTTTGTTTCTACGCCTATTACACTCTAATTGGTAATTTATATTATGACTGATTTAAGTTCAACGAATGAGAGGTTTCTTCAGAACCATCTGGTCTGGATTTTCCCGCGAAGAACCAATCAACGTGATTAAAGTCAGAATGTAAGCAAACCTTACAAATAGCTATCTTCTTCATTTTAGAGCCGTAATTCTGGTAATTTTACTCCTGAATGTTCCTGACAAAACAAACATTTGTTTAAATAACGTCAATTAAAATGAAAAGTAGCGAAATTAGAGCTGAAAACGATGAAAATGGCGATTAACTAACTTTTATTTACATTCTGACATTGATTTAAGTGAAAGGCTAATTCTTATCGCAGTCAATTTCCCACAAGACAATTCTGAGAAGATGCTTACTCGATCAAACGAAATAAAAGAACTATATGTTAGCTAATTAGCCCCTAAACATTATGAGAGCTAATTAGATATAAAGTGAAAAATTACAACTATGCGACAATCATATCGCATAGCTATCATTATTGTAAAATCAAATAATCTAAATTAATCTGATAAAAATACTTTAAATTGTTATCTGCAATTATTATCTATTTATTTTCCATCGCTAAACAACAAAACAAAACTAAAACAAGAACGTAAACTACATTTTAAGTAATTATAAATGAAATCGCTGCGTTTAATCGCGTTACGACTTTGTTGTCGCGCAATACGCAACGCGCGACAGAAAAAAACAAAAATAAATTATGACAATACAAATTGTGAAAATTACAAAATTTTTGATAATTGCATTTTTATAACATTCAGGTATTGACATGGATGTATTTTTTAAGTATTATTTTGTAAAAATTTTATATTATGAAGAAAACAAATTTCAGAATTGAGAGCATGTCGTAAATTGCCGAATTTTTGATGGTCCACCCATTATTTTTTCGATCGCTTCTTTTCATGCACAGAAAACATTTATAACTAAACTATAAGCAAATAATTTTGATGGATTCTATAATATTTTGAACGATGTCAATTTTTGAAAATAGGTGATCGAGTTAAGCCTAACACACGACTATATCAGATAAAAAATTAAAAATAAAATTTATGTCTAAAAATCATACGAAACTATCTATTAAATCATAAAGACAACATTCTTATGAGTAAAATGAAGTAAAATCTTTGTCAATTAGTCGATTTACAACTCAGAAAAGAAGTGTTGAAAATAGAGTCATAAAACAATTAACGTTTATTGACTTTCGCGGTAGGGGGTAACGCGGGGTCGGTTGACAAATTTTCTCGCAGTAGTGCAAAAGTTCTACTCACTTCGCTTGAAAGTGTCATATTTCTTCCCCACTTACAAACAAACCCGATGGCAATCGGTGAAACAGGAGATAAATTACAGCGAGTTGAAATTTGATATGTTTATTTTTTTGCGTTTTTCGTATCGAATTACATAAAAATAAATATTAATAAATTCATTTTGTCAATACGCAAGTAATTTATATCACTAGATAGAAAACAAAGCGCAGAATCCAACTAAGAAACTGTAGTTTCTTTACGCGATAGATAAAATTGAATTATTTCATATTAAAAACACTGGGTCTGTAAGACCCATGCGACTCAAGTAAGGGCCCCATTCCTAGCGACTTACGGAGGGTTAAAAAGTAATATTTATAGTTCATTATGATAAATTTTCAAACAAAATACAAAATAGCAATATCAACAATTTAAAAAAAAAATTGGTAATTTAGAAGATAATCAATCAATAATAACTCATTCATAAATTCCTTGCTTAACAAATGATAATTGGTAAAACATTATAAAAAATTTATTATATAAATATTTTATTTTATCATTGAATGTGTATTTCATTATGTAATGACTTGCAATTTTAAAAAATTAGAAAAATTCTGAAGATGCATTATAAGATAACAACAACAATAATAAACTGAAATTTTACCTTTTTAGCAGCTGCTTTCTTCCATTTTCTTTCTTGAGCAAAATCAGCAGCTAACCAAACCATTTCTTCTAATAAATAATCCCAATGAGCTTTAGTACGAGGTGGTTCTTGGACTTTAGGAAGTCGTTTAGCAGACCATAATCCTTCCCTTCGTAATTCTGAAATTCTTTGCATAACATAGGCTTCCTGAAATTTTAAAATATTAATAAGTGTTAATTAAAACATAAGATAAATATAACAGTAACATAAAATTCTTTTCTTTGAAAAGTGTTATTTTTCTTTCTGAGTTTTCTGTTGTATATTATTAAAGAAAATTATAAAAATTCCCAACTTCCTTCACTTAAAATAACTTAAATCTGATCTTATTAGAAGTCATTTTATTTTAAAGTCTAAAGTGTAATTTTCGATTAAAAGCAAAAATATCATTAACAAATTTTTTATCATAATTAAAGCAGAGCATTGTTAACAGTGTGAAATATCAGATTTATTCAGCAATTTCAAAATAACAATAACATTAAAAATTTTAGTTAGTTATTTGAAATTTTAAAAACCATTTAAGGATTTCATTTAGTTACACTTACTTGCTTAGCTCTTTCTACAATTTCCTCTTGAGAACCTATTGCAGAATCATATACAGCTGATATATAATGCTGTCTTGTATGCAACCTATTTGTAGGAAGGGTGACTGATGGAGGGGACTTTGAAAGTTTTGGTGTGCTTGGAATTCCAGATCCTGACGTTGACCGAGAAGTAGATGTATTGGCAGGACGTGATGGTGATGACTGAGAACTGGAGGTAGTAGTTACAGTTGATGATAAAGATTTTGATGTGTTATCCACTGTACTACCTATAAAATCAATAATTAAAAGGTAAATTATTTTTATTTCATTATTTAAAATACTCAAATACATATTCAAATAAAAAAAATTCTCCTTAAAAATAAATTTCCAAATAAAAATTTAATGAAGAAATTATCAATTCAACAGAAATAGTCTTATTACAAATACCCAAAAAAGCAGCATTAGTTTCATAAAATATTAATTTTATAAGATTATTGAATAACAGCCAAAAGTCATTGAAATCAGGAAAAAAATAAAAATCATGTCTAAATGAAATAAAAATCATGACTATCTTAGCAAACTGATTTAGTTCCTATTTTCTAAAGTAGATAATATCTATAACCAGTTATGTTTTTATTTTCTATTATATTTTCTTTATTTTCTGATACTTTATAACTATATTTAATTAGTCAAGTTTTTGCTACTGACTTAAATATATAATATACAGTGGTACCTCAAGATACGAACACCCCAGCATACAAAATTTTCAGGATACGACATGAAATTCAAACATGTTTTTGCTCCACAATACGAACAAAAACTCACCATATGACATTACATTAGTTCGCAGCGCCATTTTTTATTCACTTCTGTTCATTGGTCTCAGTCCGCATGTTTGCTTCATTGTGGAAGGATCTCGCTCGATAAAGGAAATCTTGAGGTATTATCAGAAAGTGATTGATTTTATTGAAAAGAAACATCCCGAAAAGGTTCACACTGGCCGTATTGCTGCTCCAAGTAATGACATTTGCCTAAGTCATTTTAGAAACATTTTAAAAAGTAGGCAAAGCCAAACTTCTTTGGATAGATATTTTACCAAGCGACCTCTATCCAGTGAAAGTGCTGGTAGAAGTGAAAGAAAGAAAGCAAAAAGCAGTGAATAAAAATTAAAATAAATAAATAAATAAAACAACACTAATTTTTTTATCTTTTCTAAGTTATTTTTAAGTTATTGTTACATTAAGCTATCTAAGTTAAGTTTTAGTATCATTTCCCTTTTCCCCCTCCCCTGCCATCAGTTTACACCTCCACCATCGTCTATCCTCAAAGGTAAAGTGCAAATAAAAGTACATTTTTTAAAATTAATTATTATTCTATTATAGTTATTTATACATTTACAACTACAAAATGCATATTTCAGTGTTTTCCTTACTAAAGTTATTTTGTTTTTAATGTACTACTTAGCTTTAATTTGAGTGTTTTTCGTGTTGGAACAAATTATTTTGTTTTACATGTAATCGTACAGGGAAAAATGATTCACCTTACGACATTTTCATGATACGATCTCAGTTTTGGAACGGATTAATTTTGTATCCTGAGGTACCACTGTATAATTAATTTGTATAATAATTGCAATTTTATAGCATTCCTGGCTATTATATACAACATAGGAAAATTATGACAATTGGTCAGAAATGACTCCCAATATTTTTATATTTTTGGACTCAAACCTTGAAATGTTAAGAAATGTAAAAGTTTTTTTTTTTTTAATATATGGGATGTTAGTATGTGTGTGAGGTGGGCAAGGTTTTGTTCATCCTCTTTGAAGCTTATTAACTCCTGCATCATTTGTTGAAAGTTTTGAAATTTTTCAGGGAGATTTGTGTATTAGAGACATTGATGTTATTAAATAACGGTGGTTAAAGGTCAAGGGCTTGTGACCTCCTTCTGTCTGCCCTTGTCATACCTTAGATGGAATTAAACCTAATGAAGATTTTTACACTTGTTATTAGAGTTTAGTTTTTTTTATAAAATGCTTCTCTACCCTCAGAATTAAGCTTTTTGTAATTTTATAATAATTAACTGTATATATAAAAAGTTTTTTGATAAAATATCAAAACAGATGATGCCACAAGCAATTTTAAATGTTTCTGAGGAAAGTTACACAATTTGTTGCTAGATTTTTTTTAATTAGATTGGTCAAAAACAAATATTATATCAATGAGTTTGTTTTACACATTGGATGGATATACAATTCTTATTCTTAAAGTGGCCAAAGTGCCACTTACAAGCTGCAAATGGCTCTTCTATACCATTACTGGTGGCTCCTGTAGTGTAACAAATTGTATATAATATATAATACTGTTATAATAGAGAATGTGCTCTTGTGTATTTTTATTATAAGCAATGTATGTCTCTTATTGTGATAAGGTTTGGCCACCTCTGTATAAATTTTTAATAACAACTTACATTTCTTTTACTATTGATAAATTAATTTCATTTTAATACATCAGCCACATCAAGGATATTTTTGTTGTAGAAATTTGTTTTTATATTATGAACTCAATATTTTTCATAAAGTGGGTTTTGGTATGTCATTCATTGTTTGAAGTTGGTTGCAAGACAGATCAAAGAGAAAACTAGATGAAAATTTGTTATAAGAGAAGATTACTTAGACTTGTATAAGTGAAAATCTAAATATGTGTACTTGAAAAACCCATATCACATTCTGTAACTGAGTGATGATTTATTGGGTTGTTCGGAAAGTAGTTTAGTGTTTTTTCCATGGAAAAAAAACAATATTTTTATAATAAATAAATGTTTTATTGAATTATATATCGACCATTTTGGTCAAATACCTGTTGTCATCATTTCTGGTAGTAGCATGATTCCATATTCATAAAANTGTTTAAAAACAAGTAGTCTATAGGAAAAAAATCCAGCAACAAAGTTGCAAACTTTCCCAGCTATTATGAGATCTTATTTAAAAACAAATTTTTATATTATTGAGCAAAATAAATAAATTGTGTATTGTCTGTTATGAGATTTTGTTATAAAAAACTTTTTATATTTTTAATTACTATAAAATGGCAAAAAGCTTAATTTTGAGGGTAAGAATGAGTTTTATAAAATAGTATAAATGTTAATAATAAGTAAAATCATCATTGTCTGATCCTACTAGAAATACACATGACCTTCTTTATCTCCCCATTCCCTTCACCTTTAACCACCAACATTTAATAGCATCAATGCCTCTCATATATAAGCCACCATACCAAATTTTGTTACTTAATCATTACCCCATCCAGAGATATTAAGCAAAGTAGATGCCAAAACACACATACTTTTGCCTTTTTTTTTTTTTTTTTTGGATTCATAAAATGTGAAGATTTGCAAAAAACCAGGAAAGTAAAAATGGAAGACTGGTTTTGAACTTTAAAAACCAGTAAAAATAATATAATAAACCCTCATCTACACTATTTTCCACAGAAACAGCTAATGCATAATGGCACAATATGAAACCTGAAGTTATAAAAGAGAATTTTGTGTGACAACACTAAACTGCATCATTTATCTAGTATGCCTGAAAAAATAAAAATCATGTCTAAATGAAATAAAAATCATGACTATCTTAGCAAACTGATTTAGTTCCTATTTTCTAAAGTAGATAATATCTATAACCAGTTATGTTTTTATTTTCTATTATATTTTCTTTATTTTCTGATACTTTATAACTATATTTAATTAGTCAAGTTTTTGCTACTGACTTAAATATATAATATACAGTGGTACCTCAAGATACGAACACCCCAGCATACAAAATTTTCAGGATACGACATGAAATTCAAACATGTTTTTGCTCCACAATACGAACAAAAACTCACCATATGACATTACATTAGTTCGCAGCGCCATTTTTTATTCACTTCTGTTCATTGGTCTCAGTCCGCATGTTTGCTTCATTGTGGAAGGATCTCGCTCGATAAAGGAAATCTTGAGGTATTATCAGAAAGTGATTGATTTTATTGAAAAGAAACATCCCGAAAAGGTTCACACTGGCCGTATTGCTGCTCCAAGTAATGACATTTGCCTAAGTCATTTTAGAAACATTTTAAAAAGTAGGCAAAGCCAAACTTCTTTGGATAGATATTTTACCAAGCGACCTCTATCCAGTGAAAGTGCTGGTAGAAGTGAAAGAAAGAAAGCAAAAAGCAGTGAATAAAAATTAAAATAAATAAATAAATAAAACAACACTAATTTTTTTTAATCTTTTCTAAGTTATTTTTAAGTTATTGTTACATTATGTTATGTAAGTTAAGTTTTAGTATCATTTCCCTTCTCC